AACCTTGACAACCACCCAAGTGGGTTCTGTAAAAATCGTCAAGGGTCGCTGAAGACCCAACACGCGCAGGCGCGGCAGCGAGCCGACTTCACCTCCAGAACCTTGGCCTCATCATAGGGTAGGGGGTTTAGGGTTTAGGGGAGCCTTAGGGGTGTAGGGGGCTATACTGTCTGAGCGTATTGAGCTCCACAAGTTGTAAGTTATAAGGGTTTAGGGATGAGGATTTCAGGTCCTTCAGAGGCTGCTAGCCGCAAGTCCCAGAAAGCCCTAAACCCTAAACCTCTAAACCCCTAAATCCTAGATCTCTAACCCCTAAACCCCTACGTAAACCCCTACTGTAAACCCCTCAACCCCTAAACCCCTAAGCGCCTAACCCCTAAACCCCTAAACCCTGAATCTTAAACACCTAAACTCCTAACCCCTAAACCCCGGATCTCAAGAGAAGCCGAGGTGGAGAGGAGATCGACGTGGTGAAGTTGCCCCGCTGAGCCAAACGTGCTTCATATGGGAGTTTCCGAATATTAGGGGGTACCTTAGGGGTTCCTTTACAGGGATCCTGTAAGGGTCAAGTAAAGTTTTCTAAGGGTTCTATCAAGGGTTTAGGGTCTTAGGAGTTTCCGAAAATTGGGGGCTACCTTACTTTGGGATCCTTAGGATCCTACTATGTAGTGGTACTATATTGGGGTCCCCTGTTTTTGGAAACTCCCATTTCTTCATGCAGGGCTAAGCAAACAAGAGTAGCAGACAAATGAAAGAAACATTGATCTCCGTATCCATCCCTTGCTCGGTCTGCCTGTCCGTCACTCTTGCATGTGTATCTGCATGAACACAGAGCCCAGAGACAGAGAGAGAGAGAGAGAGAGAGAGGGGTCAAGATCCGGGATAGAGCATGTCATGTAATACGTCTTTTCGGCACCATTGAAACTGCATCTGCCAGTTCCCATGCTTTGAGACCTTTAGGTTCGCGTGGGGTTCCCTGGTCGCATCGTACATATTGACGGGATGCTCCAGGTCATGACGCGAAGGAAGCAGGGACGCCCCCCCAAAGTAGCAAGGCCAACTTGGACCTTTGGGGCAACGTAAGCCCGTTTCTGGCTTGCTATCTACTTTTGCAAGCGGCCGTTAGCTGGATAATCATAACAGGGCATTATCATGGCAACTTGAATGATAGATTCCCTGGCAAGAGCCCTCAAACCTCAACCTCGAACCTTGCAGCACAATAGTGCTACTCCGATTAAGCAGGAGGAGGGGAGGTTTCATAAAAGCGACGCCCTATATCAAGAACCCTAATCTGCAAACCCCTGACTCTAAACCCTAAACCCCTAAACTCTTAAACCTTCAGCACGAAATCCACCCTGTGTTTCTGGCGAGGCTGGTAAGCCACAACTTCGCAGCACTGGCTCCCTTTGTGGCCGATTTCCTGCAGAACAGTCGGAACCTTGCCTTGGCTTGGCCTTTACGTAGGGTTTAGGGTTTAGGGTTTGCAATAAGGGCTTGGGTTTCGGGTTTAGGGTTCAGGGTTGGCCTTTACATAGGTGGTAGGGTTTAGGGTCTTGTTGTAATATTTAGGGTCTTTCTTTGTAATACTTTCTTTGCAATAGGGATTAAGGTTTTGGGTCCTTGCTGTAATATTGTAATCAGGGATGGTTGCATGGATTGATAAGGGTTCGGATCTTTTCAAGTGAACGAAGACCAGAACGGAAAGCTCCAACTGAACTGTGACAAAAAGCAATCAGCAAAGTCGATCGCATATCGACCTGCCAGTTGCAATTGTTGAATTACTAGGCCCCGCAGCTTCGGGCATCCATGTCCCTTATCTCTTAACCCTGAGATCCTAAGACTCCCCAACCTTTTCAACTCCACGACGCCCTGTTTAGAGTTTAAGGTTGAGGGTGTGGCCACTCGTAGCAAGATAGCGTAGTATGGCTGGTGGTCACGGCGTAATGGTCACGGCCCCTAACCCCTAAACCCTAAACCCAGGCTGGAGATGGAGAATGTTCGCGAGCTCATTTCTTCTGTCAGCCCAAACAGCTCCAGAAAAGAAACCGCCTGCAGCCTCCTGGCTGGTTGGGAGTTGCTTTGCGGGTATATATACATATATATATATATATATATAGAGTATAGAGATACACATCAAATATATATATATATATATATATATACATACCATTTTTTTTGGGTTCAGGGTTGAGGGTTTGGTAGCATAGGTTTGGTGTGAGCGTTTAGCGGGCGTTCTATCCTGGGGTTGGGGTTTTTCGGGTTGCCCGAATTCAGCTTCCCGTCAAGGTACTGATGCAGCTGTTAGCTTGTTTTTTGCTTCGCACCTCAGGCCGTTTTGCAGACTTGAAGGCTGATGGCTTTTGGGTTTGGTGTTTTCGTCATTCTTGATTTTCTTTCGTGGTGCGGAGGTATGTAGTTTGTTTTTCTGGTTGGTGGCTTTTGGTGCGAGGGTTCTGCTTTGTTTTGCATGTAGACCTTTTTGGTGTGGGGGTGTCAGATTTCAACTCTTGGGAGGGATATTGATGGAAGATCGACGGTGGTTTCGTCATACGGTTGATGATGCAAATCCTGCCCTACCTTAATGACCCTAAGCTAGGGGAATTATGGTATATTCCTTATCATGGGTAATGCAGGATTTATATCATCATTACCAGTTTGCTTCGGGTTTGAACCCCCTTAGGCTTCAACCGCGGAAAGGTGTGCTTGTGTCTTTGAGCCTGGGTGTTGAACCCCAAAAGTTCCCAGGTTTTTATGCTTTTTCAGCTGCAGCCCCTACGCAGAGATGCCCTCGTTGCCTCCCTGAAACAAACCCTCGGCCCGCAACCATACGCTTTCTTGTTCCCTTGCCCCAAGCTGCAGCCCTTCGGCAGTTTCCGTACCCTAAATAGTAGGATCCTTATTATGTTATAAGGACCCCCAAATAAGGTACCCCCCAATCTTCGGAAACTCCTAAGCCCTAAACCCTTGATAGAACCCACAGAGATCGCTTTAAGGAACCCTTAAAGGATCCCTGTAAAGGAACCCCTAAGGTATCCCCTAATCTCGGAAACTCCCAACTCATGCTGAGACTGGCTCCGAACTCATGAAGAGCTTTGGGCTTCGTCTCTTGGCCAGGGATGGGGCTAAAGGGTGCCTTTAAAGGAACCAGGGTTCCTTTAAGGTCTATCTTAAGGGTTAGGGGTTGACGATTAGGAACTTAGGTTTTAGGGGTTTTTAGGGCTTGAGGTTCCTTGGATGCGTCGTTCCGCAAGCTTTGAGCCATGAACATCCCAAAGCCTCAAGATCAGCTGGCAGGTTCTCGTAACTGGGAAAAGTGACCAACCCTAAACCTTAACCCCTAAAGCCGAAGGACCTAGACCTTAAATCCCTAAAACCCCTAGACCCTAAACCCCTAAAACCCTAAACCCCTAACCCCCCCAAAAAACCCTAAAACCCTTAAGAACCCTAACACCCTAAAACCCCTAAAAAACCCTAAAACCCCCCTAAAACCCTAAACGCCTTCCGCCATCTTAAAAGTTTCGTGGGCCCTCGGAGCTCTCCCGGGGGGCCTTCAGGGCTCTCAGAGCTTTGCCGCTGGCCCATGGTGGGTTCTTGTTTTGGGTTGAGGGTTTAGGGTTGGGGTTAAGGGTTTAGGGTTTAGGGTTTGGGGGTTGTAGGGTTTAAGGGTTTTCGGGTTTGGGGTTGAGGGTTTTCGGGTTTCGGGTTTAGGGTTTAGGTTTAGGGTTTAGGGGTTTAGGGGGTTTAGGGGTATAGGGTTTTTAGGGTTTTAGGAATAGGGGTCAATAGTACCTTAATATGGACCTATAGTAGAATGATATGGTTTCTAATGATAACTTGAGTCAAACTCCTGACCAAGAACCCAGCCAAGGTGGATCCCCGACCGCACCGTTTGCATTTCAGGACGCCGAACAAGCGCTGGAGTGCTATCAGAATACTCACAATAGTCTTAAGAAGAAGAGCAAATAGAACTGCGCATAAGTAAATAGCCAAATCAGAATTAGTTCTATCAGTATACATATATATACATATATATATATATATATATATATTTATGTATGTATGTATACAGACACACCCACATATGTATATATATATATATATATGTATATATATATATATATATATATATCTGTATGTATGTGTACACACACACACATATATATATATATATATTTATATTTATGATGCTACTTGAAGATGCGCTTAGGCTCCACGTAAGGCGGCGCAGGAGACAGAACATCTAGTAGTACAAGCCTGTTGCAATCCTTCTGCATTGATGACGTGCAGTGCAATCACCCCAAACCCACAATCGTTGGAGTTCTGGGCGAATCACACAGCCTCGATGGGGTAGGGTAGCTCCGCTTGGGGCAGTTTTACCATGTTACTTACCAAAACCTCTCATCCGAAGCAGATTCAAAACCGTCAGTTGCCCAAAAGGTCCCACGGTTTAGATTTAGGGCAGTGGAGATTTTCTGGAGCCAGGTTCCTTGTCTGAGAATCATGATGCTAGGATCACAGTTGATACCTTACTCAGGGAAGCAGCAGTTGAAAGTGTTTTGCATTCGCCAGCAACTCTTTAGTTCATATAATATAGGGGCCGTAATAAATAGAATAGGATTTCGGGGCCCATTATACTATACTTCTAATAAGGAGCCCCTACAACAGCATTTGTAGTTCTTTAGGCTCCTACATGAGGGCCAAAGCCCGACCCTACCAATGCCCCCAAGCCCTCAATCGTAACTGTGCCAAAAGCTGGGGAAGGATTCGGCATCTACCACGACGTGCTGGGAAGATTCGTCAGCAACCGGTCGGACCGGTTGCTTGGGTTTTTATGGAGGATGGGGTTCAATTCCTCCAAGGCGATCACTGGAACCCTAGTGAAACACCCGCCTCTCAAAGCAGGAGCGCCGAAGCAAGCAGGTTCTCTACAAAAGCGCTGCCCAACACCAGTTCTCCACAATGAAGCAATATCTTGTAAGGAGGGGTGTAGTGTAGATCCGATGCAGGAAGCTCAGTATCTCAGCTGCCAGCCGTGCCCCATTGGCACATTCTCGGAGCAGTTTGATGACGCTCTGGGCGTGGCTTGGTTTGTTTCGGCAGAGAGCAACCCTGTATTCCTTGTTGCTTGACGCTGCACACCTCCCAAGTCTTGTAAAAAAGAAGGCGCCTGCCGCCAAGAGTCACTTCCCGTCGCCACGGTGGGTGATTAATCGAACTGAAGCAGTCAGGGGCAGCCTGCACCTCACAAGGGAACCTTTCTTCAACCCTAGGACTTCCCAGGTGTGGATGAACTCATGGTATGGAGCGGCGGGAAGCCCTTTATAACTCTAGCCTCTTACACATGGAGCCCGAAATCCTGGCGCCGAGATCGCTGGCGTTCAGATTTGAGCATGCTTTCGACGAGTCAAGATGTTCGGAAGTAGGGGGTCGGTCAGCTGGGGATTGCACCTTGTTTCGTTCTGCCACAGCGCCAGGCTGCATTTCGTTTTGCCGTTTCGTCGCTGTTCTTGGATCTTACTTCTTGAAATTCCTGAGGGCTCGAATGAGGTGCAAGCCGTGGCACCCTACTGCCCCACACACCCGATCCCACGGCCTGAAACTCTACAATTAGAAGGCCTCCGGCGCTAAGCCCCAGACCCCAACTTGTCAAAGCCCAGAGCTCTGAACCCCAAACTTTCTAAGTAAACCTACACCCTAAACCCCAAATCCCTAAACCCTAAACCCTAGATCCTAAACCCTAAACCTCTAAACCCTAAACCCTACACCGCCCAGGTGACCTTTCGCTGTGCCGACTGCACGGCGGGGCGTGAGCCGGCTACTGCGGCGAGCTTCTGCCTGCCCTGTCCACCAGGCGCTTGCAGATCCGACGGTTTAGGGTTTAGGGTTCCTTTAAGGGGGTCTAGAAGAGCTACTATACGGGCTATTATAAGGACATAACATAGGGGAAAAAGAATTACAAATACGATTTTGGGAGTTCCTCTTAAAAACAATAGTATACTGGGCCCTCAAAACCCTAGTCTAATTATGAAGGCCGCTATAGTGCACAATCTAAAACCAGCAAATACATGAACACATAGGTGTGTAGACATAAATATATTCGTATATAGACACTCACATACATACCGCGGCACATACATACATACATTCAATCATTCACGGCAGGCTTCTTAGTCAGTCATTACATACCTACATACCTACATACATACATACGATATGTGTACACACACATACACACACATACACACACACACACACACATATGCAGACTCATCGACATGCACACACATAGTTATGCATATAAGTGTTTATGCATTTCTGCCTGTCTGTCTGTCTGTATGTTTGTATGTATGTATGTAAATCTGCGGTAGTAGGTAGATGGGCAGATGGATAGCTAGATAAATAGGTGGGTAGGTAGATTGATAGACAGATAGACAGATCGATAAGCAGGTAGATAGAACGGCAAGTGGATCTGTGGATGGGCCCGAAATCACCGTCACATAAAGCTGCATCGTGGAATGTGTTACGGGGGAAAATGAGTGCTTTCTTTTGTGATCATGTTGCTTTGATTCAAGGGCTGCTTTCACAATCAGCTGGCGCGAATCTGCTCATGGTGATATATGCGTCTGGGAACTGCAAGCCGGAGAGTTTGGCGAAGTCCCAACTCATTCTTGCAAAGTAGTGTCCCCTGTCAGAAAACTCTTGCTAACGCAGTCTAGATTTTGCCTGCAACTCTGGCACCCCAATACCGCACTTCCCTCAGATTCGACGCTTTTGGCCCCAAGACTAGCAAACATGAACCTCGGCTGAGGGTTCTGTTACGTTATCAGGTCTCCAAGTCTCCAATCGCATCCTGCGACCTTGTGTTAGAGAATCCACCTGAGTTTTCAAACTTCACACATCATCCCTCGGTGCGATGCCAAGGCCCTGCGCGTCCCAGCCCTGACCCCCCTAAACCCTAAACCGTCTGTCAGGCACCTACAAGCCAATGCCGAGCCGTGACAAATGCTTGCCATGCGACTGGGTGAAATCGTGATTAGAATCGAGTCTCAGCGCCTGGCTAAGGGTTTTGTAAGCTTCAGGTAAAACTTGGGCTTACGACCAGTAGCTTACCTTCCATATTACATTTTAGCTCCTAAGTTTTAGCTTGAACTCCCCGAAGCTGCGATGTCTCCCGACCCTAAACCCTAAACGCGTCTTTCGAGGCCCCTTCGGCACCTTTCAGAATGAGACCGGCTCGTACGAGTGCCAGAGCTGTGCCAACGGCACAACAACGTAGCTTTGGCTGCAAGGAGGGTCTCCTTGGAGGTTTATGGGTAGTTATAAGGGTCCCTTTAAAGGGTTCTATGTGGATTCTATAAGTTAGAAGTGGAGTCAAAAAGTAGGGTAACTATAGTTATAACCCATATTAGGGGACTTATAACTCCACTTATAACTACCCATGAACCTCCAAGTAGGGCTTATCTCGCTGTGGGGGGTTCAGGCTTCGGGATTTTCGATTGCGGCGAAGGTGCCGAAAAGAGCCTTTAACAGCTTTGCGGTTTCAGGTTCAACGCGAACCCCTGGACCCCTACAGCCTTGAAGCCCCAAACCCTGAAGCTCCAAGGCCCCAAACCGTAAAACGGGATTCCAGAGAGACATCTAGGCTTGCCGGGGTGTAGAGGATCAAGCTGGATTTTCCTCACTAGCCTCTGAACACAGTCCTGCTCATTCATACTAGAGTAGAAAAACGGAACAAACCAAACTACACTAAAATGTTACATGCGAAAACATAATAAAGATGATGTAACTTAGTACACTGTAACATGATCCGATATAATACTAGGCTACAAAGCCTACATCACTTGTCTTCCGAGCCTTCAACCTGACTACGCCCTCGGTAAGCCCGACACATTAAGTCTTTGCAACGGCCACGAACGCCTACACCCCACGCCGGAATATTGAGTAATACTGTACCGTAGGGTTCCTTATTATCGTGATAGGATACCGATGTGCCCCAAAACCCTATCCGATCGGCAAGGCCCCTTTAGGGTTTAGGGTTTCGGGATTTGTAACTGCACTGAGGATGGGACCCGGCTCCAACACTTCACTGGCTTGCGGCTGTCTCCGGGGAACCATCGAGGTCGAGAGATCAGGCGTCGACATCATGATATTTCAGTTGTTAAAGAGTTTAGTATAGCAAACTACAGTACGGTACAGTGCAGTACAGGACAGAGGATCGGGTGGGGTAGGGTAGGGTACAATAGGCTAGGGTTGGATCGATAGCGTAGGATGGTACGGTATAATAAAGTAAAGTCCACTCAGAGTAGTATAGTAGAGTGTAGGCAGTATAGCATAGAAGAGTAGAGTATCGTGTAGTTTTGGTTTCAGGGTTCAGTGTCTCCATGATTTGTGATTGGTTTTGGACAGCGGAATGGACTTCTTTAGTATTCTCGATGGTTCTCTTTCTGCCGTGGTCGTCGTTGTTGTCGTTCTTGATTTGGTCGCCGTCATCGTCGCGGTCGTCGTCGTGGTCGTCGTCGTCGCCGTCGCCGTACTCCTAGTCATCGTGGTCGTCGTCGTGGTGATCGTTGTTGTTGTGATTGTATTCTCATTTGTTGTTGTTTTTGCTCCTGCCTGCTGCTGCTGATACTGCTGCTGCTGATGCTGCTGCTGCTCCTGCTGCCGTTGCCGTGTCGTTGTTCTTGTCGTTGTCGTTGGCTCTTTCTCTGTTTGCAACAACGCCTCTAACATTAGCATTGCCAAGCCATCGGTGCTCGGACGTGCGTGTAGAGCCCGTTGCATGCACTGTGGTGAAGCGCACAAGCCGGGTCCCATTTCCTAACAGAGCAATAGGGGAGTATCATTTCCATAAGTCAGAAATATACTTATGAGCAAAAGTTACAGCATCAACACCACCACGTAGAAGAATAGATACACGCATAAACAAACGAGCAGACAAATTGACAGTTCAAATATACGCGACTTATAAGTGTGTGTGTGTGTGCGTGTATTTTTGCATGTGTGTACTTGTTTACAAGTACACATATATATATATATAGCTATACACACGCAGTAGCTGTAGCTGTGATCATCAGTGATTAGAAGGGCCAGCAGGACCGCTGCTTGGACGAACATAGCATGCACTGAACAAGAACACGAGAACTCATAAGCATCCCATCATGAAAGCCAAGTGACGAAGCCTGAACCTTCAACTCGAAACCACGTTTCTAAGCCTCTTTGTCAAGAGGTCTCAATGTCACGTGCGTGCCCTGCGGGACTGGGTTGGAGTGCCCGTCGCTTGCTACGCTCGAAGGCAAGTTCCGGCGTCTTCTTTTCGTCAGCCAGTAGTAGTAGTCGTCGTAGTAGTAGTAGTAGTAGTCGTGGTCGTAGTCGCAGTCGCAGTCATTCGCAGTCGTAGTAGTAGTAGTAGTAGTAGTAGCAGTCGTAGTCGTAGTCGTAGTCGTTAGTAGTAGCAGCTGCAGAAGCAGCAGCAGCAGCAGCAGCAGCAGCAGCAGCAGCCGCGGCAGCAGCAGCAGCAGCAGCAGCAGCAGCAGCAGCAGCAGCACCGGCAGCAGCACTGCTGATGCTGCCATGATGCTGCAGCAGCAGCAGCAGCAGTATCCGCAGTGGCAGCGCCCCACTCCCCCTAAGTCTTCGGATTCTTAGATAGTGTGTAGTACCCTGATGCCCCGAGGGCAGCAGGCTTCCTGAACCGGTGAAATCGAAGAGTGCCACGCCACGGGACTGGCACTCATCCATGGCTCTCTTCTTCATTTGTCGCCTACTCCTGCTGTCTGTTCCTCCTGCTCGCCTACCTCTGCTGCTGCTGTTGCTATCACGACGAGGACTACTACTCCTACTGCAATTTCACTGGCGGTTGCTGCGGCTAGAGTTTCCTAACAGGCCTGAGGCCTAAACCCTAAGCCCTAAACCCCAAACCCTAAACCCGTAAACCCTAAACGCTAAAGCACTGCTGTCGCTGGCTGGCGACTTGGTGTTTGCTTCGTGTGACTTTTGATTTCCCGTCCCACTCGCAATCCTGCTCTGCCGTACGGCTGCTCCTAATATGGGGGGTTAAATATTTACCTCTACAATTTTGGGGGTTCCAAATAAGATGCATAGTATCATAGCACCCAAAGCCGTATTCTATTTATTAAGGCGCCTGTACTATGTTCCATGGGGCAGCAATCGGTACTTTGGTATAGAAGTTGTCAATATTATTCCGCCGGGATCCTTGTTATAGCTGTAGTATCACATCTCCACAAGACCTCTTCTAATCATCAAGTGTTCGATGCAAGAAACGTTTGCAGGCCTCCACTTCCAAAAGAGTGGTTTCAATCCAGCGGGAGATGTGCCGCACATCCTGCCGGGCTACATGAGCCCCGAAACTTGTGCTTCAACTTGTTGCTATCTTCTTCTTGTTGTTGTTGGTGCAACGGTTCATCATCACGGCGATGATGATGATGACGATGATGGTAACATGGGTGATAGTGCAGGTGGTGGTGGTGGTGGTGGTGGTGGTGGTGGTGGTGGTGCTGGTGGAGGTGGGCAGTATAACGGTTCATCATGACGGCGACGATGACGATAGTGGCTCTAACAACTGTTATCGTGCGGATTGTGATGGTGATGATGATGATGGTGATGGTCATCTTAATGATCTCATAGTGATCATGATTTTGGCAATGGTTATGATGTTGTTATTGATGAAGATGAAGATGATGATGATACGGGTGAGACGGTGATGAAATCTATGGTAGACTCGGTGATGCAGATGATCAAAACGATGATGACAAATAGTGTAGAGATGGAGTTTTCCTTGCTTTTGCTGTTGCTGCTGCAGGGGCTAATCACGATCACCTTTGCATTGAGGCTGATGCTTCCTGCGCTAGTCCGCAGAGCGCGGTTCAGGTTGGGTTTAGCTTCGTTAGCGCGCTAGGTTGAGGTCTTAGTCGCTACTTACTAACCCGTATAGAGATCCCTTTCAGGCTTTAGCGAACCCTACTTACCAGTCCAGACTGATCCTCAGCTTCCGAGTGTAGGAGTCCCTCTGTAGTCCTGCCGCCTCGAGCAACAAGGATACAGCAGCCCTCAGTATCCTCAAGTGTGGCTTCTTGTCTGCACCTTGCGCCAGACCTGTCAACAGTGGTGCTGGAAAACGGGATGGAGCGGGTTTGGATATCTTGTTTTGGCACGCGTGGCGGGCTTCGGAAGGCTGCTGTGGGTTTTCGGGGAGACCCCAAATCCGAAGCGCCCGACTGCAGGGAAACTCACCGAGTGTCCGGGTGGCTCCCCCGCACGCTGCACCGGTGGCCGTGTGGCGGATCAGGCGCTTCACCTAAATGTCAGGCACCCCAACATGCTCAAAAGCTCTTAAATTAAACCCTTGAATCCTTGAACCTTAAACCCTACCCCCACAGCCCTAAGCTCTAGGAGAGTTCTGGGAGATGTCCCAGCCCTGCCCTCTGATGTGCCAGTCTGCCCTCAGGCCTTGAGTCATAGAGTTACGAAACTTCCGAAATTATTCAAGTGTTGTGTTTGTCCTCGAGCAAAGCGTTTCATAGTCATGCTTTTCGCATCAAGTGTTCGGTTCCGATGGCCACGCCTCTGACGCTGCTGGTGCTGACAGCGAGGATGAGGAGGATGATGATGCTGCTGCTGGCAATGACGATGGTGGTGGTGGTGGTGGTGGTGGTTGTGATGGTGATGAGGATAGTCCGTTTTAGGCTTTCATAGAACTCGTCGTATGCTCATTGTCAGCAAGCTGTGGAATACTGAGTACAAATCTCCCATGAGCAGAAGACTGTCAGTCTCACACTGCCAAGCTACCATTATGATCGACTCTCAGTTTGGTCGAGGGTAGCACTGCACCCCTTCACATCCCGCTCTGGAGACAGGTTTGCGCCACCTGCCCCAGCGGCTGGAGGCCTCTGTCCCAGTGGGGTGGTTGTCAAAATTAGGGTCCCTTAATATATTGCGGCACCTATTTTTTAGGGTACCCGAAAAGGACCCTAATTTTGACAACAACCCAGTGGTTTTTGGGATTTCAGAGGCCCGGTGAGCTTCGATCTTTTGGATTCACCGAGCTTGACGTAGGTGCCTTTCGCACGTTCAGCAGCTGGGTCCGGATTTGAGCAGTCTACACACTCTAAGCCCATATATTTATTAGCCTTAACCAGGTCCCTATTTGGGGTAACTTCAAGTTTCCCTTATTGTTTAGTATAGAGCCCAAATTGTACAGAGCCATATGGACTGTTGAAATCGACACCTAGTTCATCCCTGAGCCTTTTTCGTGGATTAATCCTTCAAAGCGATTGGTCCCTAAACCCTGAACCCTAAACCCCGCACCTTAAATTGCAAACCCTCAATCCTAAACTCCGAAGCCTGAACCCTAAACCCTAAACCCTATAGTCTCCTTGGGATTTTTTGTTATTTGTGTTCATATAAAACCCGAGAGACTATTAAAACTTTCATTTTTACTGCGGTTCTAAGGGGGGTAGAGAACCCTGAACCCTCAACCCTAAATCGAGAATGAATTTCGGGGATCTTCGGGGCCGCCAAAGGTAATCTTCGAAAACCCAGGTGCGTTTGATGCGAGGAGTGTCGCGGTCAATTACGATGAAGAACTTGCAGTTTCGGGTCTGTATGAAGGTCCTTGTAGGGGGTCCACATACTTGAGAGACCATTCTGAGGTGTAAGGCTCTTGAAGGTGTCTTGTCTGCCCCTTCGCAGATCATCACGACCCCACCACCCAGAACCAGAAGATCACATGAACAAGACCAAGTTCAAAGTGCCCTCCCTGCCCAGGAACCCGAAATTGAAAGCCTAAGCCCTAAACCCTCTTGTGTACCTTATGTATGCCATGTAGAATACCTGAAGGATACCCTTCAGAATGCCCTAAAGAATACCCTACTACCCAAGAGCACGAAGTCCAAAGAATTCTTAGCAGATTCCGAGACCTGCGAAGGTGGGCCGGCAGGGAGTGCGTCCCCTGTGAGGCGACCCTGGGGGCTTGAGGGTTTCAGGGCTTTAGGGCTTTAGGGTTTGGGGTTTCGGGTTTAGGGTTTTTTGGTTTCGGGTTTAGGGTTTTCGGTTTCGGGTTTAGGGTTTAGGGTAGAGACGGGAAGGCACTCCGAGTTGTTTAGGGCTTACTGTAGGTTTGAGTTGCCTCTCAGGGTTGCTTTCAAGGCTACTAGGTTACCATAGGACTGCTGCTAGAATTTGTAGCTTGGGGTTTCTGAGTTGAAGGTTTGGGGTTGGCTTGGAGTTCAGAGCATGTCGTTGCCAGAGCACAGGTGTATGATCGGGGGTGGTGGCATCTCCTGCAACGGCCGTGGTTCCTGAATAAAAAAAATGGGCGGAATAGTCTATTGTGTAGCCTTATAGTCAGGGAAAAGGAGCAACAAAACCACAAGGCCGTATTCTAATTGACAAGGGTACACCAACCCATCGAATACACCACAAGGAATCTATTAGGCCGTATGGAAAAACGAGGTTCCGAGCTGCTTCTGTTACCACTGCTCCCCCGACCACCACCGGTAGCTTGGGCGCATTCGACTCTAGGCCTAAGGGCAATCGCCTGGGCGACACACATAAACCCAATTCTTCCCAAATCCGTTGATAAAGGAATGTACCGTAATCTATAGTAGGATCCCTAGTACTTTTGGTCCTTAATCATCAACGGATATTGGAAGATCTGGGCATGTGACAATATCATACTCGGCATTCTCAGTGCTAAATCACTAGATGATGGTGGTTGGGGGAATCGATGCAAATAGGACCAATACGCCTGCCAGCGATAAGAAGGTGTCCATAGCGACAACAGGAACAATTCCTCCTCCTCCTCCTCCTCCTCCTCCTCCTCCTCCTCCTCCTCCTGCCCAACTAAACCCTAAGCAACACCGCACTGTTTTGCACAAGCTCCACACCAGGTGTGGTTGATCGTCCTTTGGGCCGTGGCGCGCTGGGCTGCAGTGGGGCGAGGGGCAAAGGGGCTTGCCCTACAACACAAGTTCTGATCCTGTGAACTTCAAACCTCAACCCTTAATCGAAGCTCGTAAATCCGAGACTGTAACTCCAAACATCTCTAAACCATACGCCCTCAAGTTTTAACCTGCATAGGGTTTGGCTTGGAGCTTCGAGACACTCCCGGACCATTCTTTGAGGCCCAGTTCAAGACCATGCACTACACTTCCGGATATCAAGGTTTAAGTTTAGGGGTGTTTGGTGTTAAACCCTAAACCCTAAACCAGTGTTTAGGATGTAGGGTTCAGGGTTCGGCTCTTGGGGGCCTTTTAGGGTTCAGGAATGCTGCAAGGGAGAAGCCACTGCCCCGAAGGGCTGCAACAGAACCCAACACCACAAACCTTAGACCCAAGTCCCAAAACCCCGAACCCTAAACCCTAACACCTAAGCAGGCCTCCATTGCCATCTTTTTGGCGATGCCCTTTGCCGGATTCCGGCGAGCCGAGTCATCTCTGCCGCTGGGCTGAGCTTGAGATCCCCAATATCCCTTACTTTAGCAATATATCTCAAATCATAATAGTATGAAGCCCCCCTATAGGTATATTTCTTGATTCCCTTATAGATCCCGTTAAGGAACCCTTTAAGGAACCCTTATGGTATATTCCTTGATTAAGGGGTATCGGGATCCCTGGGGAGCTGCAGACTCCAGGGTCTTCAAAAGAACTCGAGGCGGTAGGAGGGCTCACAGGGTACTCTAGGGTTCTGTGATAGGGCCCCCTTTAAACGGTACTATAGGATGATAAAGTAAGGCCCCCTTTGGGGGGAACTCTTATGGTAGCCCTTATGGTTGCCCTGATAACTTGTGTTTTGTTAAATTAGATCCTTTACTTCACTTCGTTCCATATTTCGTTCGTTTCTCCTTGACCTACAGACGGATGATTGGCTTCATATTATCGGAACAGCCTGTGCTTGCTGGTCAACAGCTAGGACAAAGAAAGCCGAAGCCTACTGTACAACATCCATTCCCTAAAACTATACGCCCTAAACTCTGAACCCTAAACTCGACACTCTAAACTCCACACCCTAAAGCCCCTAAAGCCCTAAAGCCCCAAACCCTAAACCCCTAAACTCTACACCTGCCGAGCTCTCTAGCAAGCCGATGGGGGCTGGGAGCAATTTAAGGCATATTCCTTAATTAGGGAGCGGTGCAAACAGGAAAAATTCTGCTCCTGATCCTTCCCCACGCCCGCAAGCCCATAGAAAAAATGGCCAGAAGCCCAGACCTCCCTACAACCTCCCGTGATCCTCCCTGCCTAGTTGTGGAAAGAACATGCCCTGATGCATGAGCCCCCCGAGCTCCAACATTCCAAACTCCAGTCTCGAAATCTGGGAGTTCCCGAGAATGGGGGATCCTAAAAAGTACCTAAATAGAAGGATCCTTATTGTAAGGACCCCAAAATAAGGGATCCCTAGTTTGCGGAAACTCCCAAATCTAGAATCCCCAACCTCACAACCCGACCATCCCAGACTCTATCACCTACGACAGCAGCCCAAGGAGCGTATTGCGCGATCTGCAGTTCACTGTCCAAGAGCTTATCTTCCTAGCGATTCAGAGCCTGCCACTTGATCGCGCTTTGACGCCTTCTTCTTGGTCTGCTTCAGCCATGGGTATTTGTGTGTACATACATACCTACATACATGCCTACATGCGCATACAGTCTTTCATTCACTCGTTCGTTAATTCCCATGTATGTCGTATGTATGTATGTATGTATGTATGTATGTACGTACGTACGTACATGCATGCACGCATACACACATTATCGATGCCTGCACGCATGCATACATGCATAAAGAACTGCCTACTTACCACCATCAGCCTTGCATCTGTGCGTGCGTAGGGTTCGGTGCGTGTGCATGGCACTTGCCTACTTGCCTGCCCTGCCTTCGTATCTGTCGCCTGTTTATCTGAATCTTTTTTCTGCCGTGTGCGTGTGTGTGTGTGTGTGTGTGTGTGTGTCTGTTTCCGTGCATGGTTGTTCCTTTTTCCCGCATCTCCACCTCGTTGAAAGCCCCTGCGTTTTCGCTTGCATGTGTCTCTATGTGCGTACGTACGTGCGGCATATGTGAAGGTTGTTTAGAGCATGTTAAAACGGTAAATGCGAAAGCGGGCACCCAACACGATGCGTTCTTTCTCGCCACGGTCGCGCAGTGCTGTCGCTCGTTGTCGCAAGCAGGATCTGAGCAGCTCGAGTTTGGGGATGTCTCCTTTATGTGGGTGGTTGTCAAAATTAGGGTCCCTTTTTGGGGTACCCTGAGTAATAGGTGCCGTATTCTAATAAGGACCCAATAAGGGACCGTAATTTTGACATCTACCCATGTGAAGGGAGTATTCTTGGGAGTTGGGCTTCGGGCATCAATGAGTCGGTTTCGGGAATGTTGGGCTTCTGTGCTGCGGGGAGTTGGCTGAAGCCCAAAATCCGGACAGCCGAAAATGTGGTCTTAGAGCCTGACACCCGAAATTTAGCCTCCCCCCCGAAACGGGAGATTCTCAGAGGCAAGTCTTCGCCATCATCCGGCAGATTACTGTCGAGTGGCCGTCGGCACGCTCGGACGTGCTGCTCAACACCATGCCGCTTGCAGTGCATTGTGCTCCGGGTGGTTTCGGCTCATGTATGTGGACCCTACCCGAAAGCCTCAGCTGTAGGACGAGCAGCTGGAGACTGTGACAAGCATCCTCCCCCCTAAACCCCTAAGCCCTAAACCCAGACCCTAAACCCCTAAACCGCTAAGCCCCAAACCCTAACCCGAAACTCCTGAAACCTAAACCCTAGCACCTGGCTATCAGACCTCAGTCACCACACGCAGACGAGCATGCCCCAAATCCAAGTCTCACTGCAAACCCTAAACCGAAACCTTAAATCCTCAACCCTCAACCCTACACCCTCAACCTGAAACCCTGAATCCCCAAAACCCGAAAACCTTAACCTCCAAGCCTTGAAACCTCAAGCCCTAAACCCCCAAAAACCCTCAACCTCAAACAAGAACATCAAGCTTAAACAGTAACCTTACTTACCTTTGGTTAGTAGGGAATGGAGGATTGGGGTACAACTATAATTACTATTACTACCATTCTTCCATTCCCTGCTAACCGAAGGTAAGTAAACAGTAACCTTAAGCAACAACAGAGAACCCTAAGCCGAGGTTGATGGGCATTTCGGACTTGGGCATTTCCTGCATCGTCGATTCCCAGCCTGCGGAGTATGTGCTTCAGGCACCCGCGAGCCATGCGGCTTTAGGGTTTCATGGTTTAGGGTTGAGGGTTTCAGGGTTAGGGTCTAGGGTTTCAGGTTTTCTCCTCGGTGCGTTCCTTCTCTTGATCTTGCAAGCCAATCTCCTCTTTCCTTGGTTCGGGTTTAGGGTTTCACGGTTTCAGGTCGAGGGTTAGGGTTTCGCAGGTTAGGGTTTCGCATGTTGGGTTAGGGTTTCGCACTTCGGGTTAGGGTTTCACACTTCGGGTGAGGTTTCAGGGTGGAGGGTTAGGATTCCAAATCTTCCGGTCACGGTGTCAGGTCATTTTGGACTGCCGACCTTCCGAAATGCTTGCTACTTAGCGCCCGCCGAATCTCCCTAAGCCCTAAACCCTAGACCCCTAAACCCTAAACCCTAAACCCCCAAACCCCTAAACCCTAAACCCTTAAATCCTAAACCCCAAACCCCCAAACCCCTAAACCCCTTAAACCCCCAAACCCTAAACCCCCTAAGCCGCTTAAACCCAAAGCCCTGTGCGGCTGCAGAGGCATCTTTCCTGCCGATCGCCTGTGCCTGGTCTTGCCTTTGCCCCTCGAAACTGCTGGTTTAGGGTTTAGGGTTTGGGGTTTAGGGTTAAGGGTTTACGGTTTAGGGTTACAGGGGCTTAAATAATGGGGGATCTATAGTAGGGTTCTATCGTAGGGGCCTAAATAATTGCCAACATTATTTTGGGGGTTCCTTCTTATAGTTACAGTATAATGGGTCCCCAAACCCTATTCTAATTATTAAGGCCCCTATATAACGGTTCACAGTCTAGTTTTTAGTCGTAGCCTAGGCTGTGGTGGTGTGTATTGCAGACAATCTGCACTGTGGTTTACAATACTCTGCACGAAGCCCTTGCTCAAGCTATACCCGGCCGGCCCCGTATCAAGGTTTCAGATTTACGCTCAGGATTGTTTTTTTTTTTTTTTTTGGGGGGGGGGGGGCGCCTTAAGGGTTTCGAGAAGTCGAACCAAAACTATATGCGGCTGTACAGCGTCTTGAGGCTACGGTCCCAAACTTGGACGTGAGGGTTAGGATCGCGCGTTGTCGTCTGGAGTCGCAGGTTCGGGAACCCAGATCTTCTCAAAAAACCCTTAAATCAAGGAGGAGAGTCTGGAATTATGGTAGGACCCCCAATCTGATCCAATCTGATTTAGTTCATGTTCTTGAATTGAGGGGTTTTGGAAGATCTGAGCCTCCAAATCATCGGACTACGCTTGCACTGTCAAGTGGTGTAATTATAGATGCGCAAGGCTAGTGCGGAGGAGCACCACACGTAAACATCTTACGGTATGTAGATGTAGCAGCATATGATGTAGTTCAATTTCTTGAGTTCAATTTCTTGAACCACGAAACAAGAGTGGGAGCTCCAAACAGTGACAGTAGTGTTCTTGTCCGTGGTATCGGCAGCAACACTACTGATGACGTGCTTATGATCATTAGGATTATTAAGGTGATGTTGATGATGATTTCGGAAATCATATCGGTTGTCGTTTTGTTTGTGATGGTAATGCTGGCTCCTCCTCTTCCTCCTCCTCCTCTTCCTCCTAGGACTACTGCCACTGCTACTGCTGCTACTGCTGCTACTGCTGCTACTGCTGCTACTGCTGCTACTGCTGCTACTGCTGCTACTGCTGCTACTGCTGCTACTGCTGCTACTGCTGCTACTGCTGCTACTGCTACTGCTACTTTTTACTACTACTACTACTACTACTACTACTACTGCTGCTACTGCTGCTACTGCTGCTACTGCTACTGCTACTTTTTACTACTACTACTACTACTACTACTACTACTACTACTACTACTGCTGCTACTTCTACTATTTCTACTACTTCTACTACTTCTACTACTTCTACTGCTTCTACTACTTCTACTACTTCTACTACTTCTACTAATCTACTACTTCTACTACTTCTACTACTCTACTACTTCTACTACTATCACTACAAATTCCACCATCACAGCGACTACGACAACGAGTGCGACGCGGGGAATGATAACGACGTTGTGGACAACGACGACGCTAACCACCATAGCAGTATCAATAGCATTAGTACGTACTTGGAAGTTCATGGGTAATTATAAGTGGGGTTATATGTCCCCTGATATGGGTTATAATTATAGTTACCGACCTTATAGCTCCGTTTATAACTGGCCATGAACCTCCACGTATATCCCGCAGTGTAAGCGACATGACTACTGGCGCAACTCGGATGGCATCTCGGACGGGACTATCTCGATACAGCAGCACTTTATCCTTTGAAGAGAACATGGAAGAACTTTGGATGTTGTCGCATAGCGGTTTCAGGCATTTTTCTCGCCACCCACGTATGCAGAACTTCGATGTTCTCGGGCTCCGCAGTCGTGAGGACTCCTGGCAAGTTTACGGTCTCAGGTGAGGTTTCAGGGGTTGCAGTGCATTTGGATTCTCGCAGTGTTGCGGGGCTTGTACACGTTTTCCGTGAATAGTTTTCGGCACCCTTGTTCTGGCGGCATACCCTAAACCCTAAGCCCTAAATCCTGAACCCTGGTTCTGGCGGTGTAGCGAGGTCTCGTTTTTGGGGCGGGTGGTGGCCGAGCTCTCCCAAAAGCCGAGAGTTTGGGTTTGGTGTTGCTGTTTAGGGTTTAGGGCTCGTGGTTTGTGGTTTAGGCTTAGGGTTCAGGGGCAGTGGTGCTTCTTTGGCTTAACCGGTCAAGCACTGGAGTCCTAACCTGTGCGGTTCCACATCTTTCATACTTTACCTAGTGTTTCCCATCAAGCAGAGGTCCGGCAGGAGCATGGCGTTCCTTGGACCCCTCTCTTTGGAATCTTTGGAAGCCCCAGGAGCATCAACACCGTTGGCCTTGTCAGCTTCGTGTTCTTCGAGATGGCATGCAATATGGCACTCGCGCCGTTGCTGGCTTCTGCATAGAAGCCCAAAGCTCTGAAAGCACTAAGCCTGAAGCCGTAAACCCTCGGAGCTCAGATATTGAGACGGATGGGGACCCAAGCCATGTTCCACCAACGCCGGCAGCGATTGATTTGGGCATCAGCTACACACCCCTGAGCCCCCTAAACCCCTGAATCCGAAACCCCAACCCATTCGCGTCCCAGCCGCTCTTTGCTGGATCCCGGAAACCCCTAAAGCTCTAAAGCAGGCTGTGTTTCTTACAGGCCGCCTTGCTTGAAGGGGTTTGATGACCTATCGGTTCATAACAGGCAGCACCGAAGGATTCCGTATCCTACTTATAGACCCTAAACTGTTTTCCGGAACCGTAACAAAGCCCTCATACCAAGCTCTGGGAACTTGTGAAAAAGGTGAGTGACTGCGGATGCCATCAGAGGTTCTACTGTCTACTTGTGCATGTACATCTAGACGGTCAAGGGTACATACTCTGTATCTATATCTATCTATCTGTCTATCTCTCTCTCTCTCTCTCTCTCTCTGTATATATATATATGTATACATATATGCTGTATACACTCTCTGTACATATAAATATATAATCTCGAGAAATACTATTCTATACTACACTAAACTACATTATACTAGGCAAGTTAAGGGTGAAGGGTTCAGGGCTTAGGCTTTTCGGAAATGTTTAACTTCCCTTATTGTTTAATATAGAGCTCCGTTGAAATCGACACCTAGTTCCTCTTCATGTTTGAGTAGCCATCCCTGTGAATATTTCAAGCCCGCAAACATTCGAGCTTCCCCTTACCCTTTGCCAGAGCAGGCCAAAACCCTAAACTCTAAACCGTTTCTCCAAGCCCCGCCGGCCCGAGGTTCACCTGCTATGCCCATCCTAACGGCAAGCACAGTGTGCGGCAATATCCCAGTGTCTTCTGCGACACCGCCGACCATACTGTCATGAGCATCATGGGAGGTGGGGATCCTACTGGGCAGCCACCAGCGCCCCAACTCCGAAACCCTAAGCCTCATCAAATCCTCAAGACCCTTAACAGTCACCAATGTTATTTTGGGGGTTCCTTATTATAGTGATAGTATAATTCTCCATCATGTCTGGAAGGCATCTTGGTCGTCCTGGTGGTGGCATTTCTGACTGCCTGTGCTTGGGCGGTGTGGCGGATGCCATATTGGACTCTCCGGGAGGTGGCACAGGGCTAGGGCTTCGAGGTTGAAAGGGTTCAGTGTGAGGCAACTGGAAGCTGGGCACCCCTAAGCCGTTGATATCTTCTGTTGTAGAGTCAGCAATAGTAAGGGTTGCATTGCTTGAATGCTGGTAGCAACACTGCTGCTCATCGGCATCATAGCAGAGAAGCGGTGGAACAACACTAGCGGCAACAACTGTATCATCGCCAAGGGTATGTCCAATGTAGAATCAGCAACAACAACAACAGCAGCAAGAGCAAGAGGAAAAAACAGTGGAGGGTTGAATCTTCTTGTTGGTATTATCGTCGCCTTCGTCTTTGTGGGCAACCGTTCCTGTTGCAGCTGTTGTCGGGGCAAGTGTCTTTCTAGTTGTTTGATCTTCAGCCGGCAAGGACATGCGTGAGCGCGTGGCCGCATTTCGCTTCGTGAAGGAGGGCTACAGACTGGATTCCTGGTGCGCCGACTTTGTTTGCATATCTTCCATATGCCATCCGTGGTGATTCTCAGAGGTTGAGTTTGTTTGAGGTTCAAGACTGAAGACGCGTAAATTGAGTTTGGGCTTGCTTGGACGTGCTTCACCTGATTGCGATCAGGATGCCTGTTGAAAAAGACGTTCACAGAGCAGTGGTAGCGAAGTTCTGCGGCCGAAACAGCCAATACTCACAAGACCACGAGGTGGTACGGTGTGCCCGTGCTTCTCACGGGCCCTTTGCTGTCCCTCCCTGCCGTGGTCGCTCCGGACGACCCTGCCACCCAGGTTGGGTCAAGGATTTGGCCAGGTATGACATGCATCGTTATTGTTCTGTTGGTGATGGTTTTGATTTTGATTCTTTTTGGACCGTCATCTTTTAAGCTTGGGCCTTGGTTGGCGATCTATGTTCCGGGAATCGTGTTTAGGGTATGGGGTCGGTTCTTGGTCGGAGTGCTCCTTTAGGAAGCATTTGCTTCATGAATTGGGCGGCATCCTCTGAACGATAGAAGCATAGTGCAACCCCTCTAGAACCCATATAAACCCCCGAAACAACCTGTATAGAACCTTACGAGAACCTCACGATAGGTCAGAAGCTGTAAAAAGCCGCAATCCTAAATCCCCGTTTCATACCCTCTACCCTCTCTTCATGTGCGGGCATGATAATTCCAAGGCTTGTTTAGGGCTCGACCTTGCGACATGGTACAACCCTAAACCCTAAACCCTAATCCGCCACAGGTAGGGCTTACCACCTTGATTCTCTTCACGCATTTGCTGCTGCTCCTGCTATGCTGGCCGTGGAAGGTGGGCAGCTGCTTCAGGCTTTATGCTGAGGGCTCCTTAGGAGCCTTTAGCGGGATCCTTTAAGGGTTCCTTAAAGGGATCTATGAGGGTTCCTTTAAAGGTTTAGAGTTTCTAAAAGGCTTATTTGGGGTCCTTATAATAAGGATCCTGCCATGTAGGGTACTATATTAGGGTCCCCTATGTTCGAAGACCCCCAAATGGGTTGTACAGTGCAGGGGTGGGAGCTTGCGAGCAGCAACATATGGGGTTTCAGAAAAGAAAGGAGCCTATAAAGTAGAAGCGAAGACTGTTACAGGAGAGGGTCTCTGCAGAGTTTTGACTTATTGATATCGGCTCTTCTCACCGCCACGGGCCGGTATCCATCGTAGCAGTCCCCGTCGCCCCCAACCCCACTGAAAGCCTTCTGCCCATAAGGCCCTGAGCGTTCCGAGTTGTCTCGGAAGGTAAGCAGCAGGATTTCTAGCATCACTTTTGTGGTGCCAGTGCCATCATCAGTACCAAGCATCATCTCAAGGCGATTGTGGTTGTTGCCACCGCTACCCGCACCAGAAAGGCAAGGTCATTATCATCGGCAGAGCGAGCTCCATGCTTCCATTGCCACTGTATAGATGCAGAAAACACAATAGTTCGGATGCCTCTTGCAACACTAGCCACATCATCAATGTCCACTGCTGCCCTGGGTCGAAATTGCAATGCGACTCGAAGCCTCAAGCTTGAACCTCCAACCCCAAACATTGAACTAACCCCAACTCCCTGAACCCTAAACCCTAAACCGTAAACCCTAAAACCCTAAACCACCTGTCCTGTTCATCCCCTGAAAGGTCCCGGTGATGAACGTCATTGAAACGGTCTCCGCGACCTGGCTCCGTCTTTGAGTCGACAGGGCTTCGGGGCTTTTCTGGAGTTTAGGTTTCGAGGTTTAGGGTTTAAGGCTTGGGTTTCGGGTTTAGGGTCCAAGGTTTGAGTTTGGGTTTCGGGTTTAGGGTTTGGGTTTGGGGTTTCGGGTTTAGGGTTTGGGTTTAGTGTTTCGGGTTGAAGGCTGGGTTTAGGAACTAGGCGCCGAGGATTCTCAGTTCGGCTTTTGGGCTCTTCGGCTCTCCCCTTTTAGAGCTTAAGAGCAAGGAGGGTTGGGGTGTGTAAGGTTTCCTTTAGAGGAGCCCGTAACGGATCAACTACATTGCATGGCCCCAGTGCTTTGGAAATACAGCTGAAGCCACCCAAAGGCCGCAATTTCCAAGGTGTCAGGCGCGCTTTTCTCGGCAATCAGTGCTGGCTTCTTCCTCCCGACCGGCTCCGAGACGCTGTTCTGCTGTCGAGTTCATGTTTGGGTTTAGGGTTGAGGGTTTAGGGTCTAGGGTTTGGTGCAGAACTTGAGATGTTGGTGGTTAGGTTGTGGGGTTGAAACTGAGTGGTGGCGTTGTATTGACAACTCATGACCCAGAGACCCCAATATCCCTTAGTTAAGGAATATTCCTTAACTCATAATAGGGATCCCACTATAGTTTAAGGCATATTCACCATAATTCCCTTATTATAGAACCCTTCTGACCCCTTTAAGGAACCCCTTTACAGTATATCCCTTGACTAAGGGATATTGGAGTCTCTGGGGAGTCTTTCGATGGTGCAATTAGGATTTCTGAAGCTTTCCGGGGCTCTGGAGCTTCCCAAAAATGCTTGTTTTAGGCTTTAGGGCTTAGGCTTTAGGCGTTAGCGCTTAGGGTTTAGGGTTTAGGGCTTAGGGTTTAGGCTTTAGGGTTTAGGGTTTAGGAGTTTAGGGTTTAGGATTCTAGACCCTGAGCCATAAACACCTAAGCCCTAATTCAGTGTCAAGATTTCTGCATGAAGCGGTGAGAGTTGGGGTTCAGGGAGTCCCCCAGGCAAAGTTAGCACATCCGTAGATTTCTGCACCATTGGCCCAAACGCTGAAACAAACGAAGCACTCGATCATTGTATATAACATAACCTTGTATATTTCATATACAACATAATATCACAGAGTTTGTCTACGATAGTACATCGCAGTCTGTCTTTTGATACTATATATAACATAGTGTACTATATTGCTTTAAACTATGTTACCTTCTAGTATAAGAGGTTTCGCTCGGGCTTTAGCAGAGATGGGTACCCGAAGCCACAAAGCCTTCTCAATAGGTCTTTCACACGTACGCACGGGTCTCAACGTCTTAGCAGAAACACCCCGGCACCCCAAGTAGTCTTCAATTCGGGACGCCCAAACCCTAGACCCTAAACCTAAGCCCTACCCCAACGACGACAGAAGGCTGCAGAAGGGTGTCGGGAGCTGCTGACAGGAATCCGAGAGGGAGCTTTGAAGCAGGTGCAGTCCATTTCGTTCTTGTACTATATCGTGTCCCTAAGGGTCCAAGTACCTAAGAATCATATACTCTCCCAAATAGTAGCCTACAGAACTCTTATCCGCAACGCAAGTAGGTAATTATGAGGTTCGGACCCTTGGGTGTTACGTTATACGTACCCGAAGCTTCCTTGCGTTCAAGCAGCTCCTTGAAAGCGTTGTTGGATGTAGGGCTTAGTGGCCTAGTGTTAGGGGTTTAGGGATACTCTGAGCTTGTTTTGTACGGGTACTTTCAGGTTTCCATCAGGGTAGAACAGGTACTCTGTGGGAGTCGGGTTTAGAGTGCCCTCACGGTTCTCTTGCAACACTCTTACTAGCTCTATGATATTGAATAGACCCCTTATCAGTTCTAGTCTTCTAGAAAATGCATCTGACCTCAGGATCTCCTTTAGAGTTCAGGGTTTAGGGATCAGGGTACTAAGGTACTCAGTGCTCTCCCTGATCTCAGGACCAACCCTAAACCACCTTGAACCCTTAAACCCTAAACCCGTAAGCCCTAAATCCACTCAGGACCTCCTTCCCAAGCGCTTTCTCACTACTCACCCGCACGGTTGTCTTCGCTGCCTTCTGCTTGGCCTCGGCTCTTTGTCATGAAAGCCGTTCCCCTCAGACCTGACGGTTTACGTTTTCGGGTAGGGTGTTGCTTGAGCCCCAGTTACAAAGCTTGAACCATGTACTGACATAATGTCTTTTCGGTATTCCGGGTCTGTGAAAGCTCAGGCAGTCTGGATGCAAGGTTGTCGAGGATGGAGTTAGATCTTACTTCTGAGCCATCAGGAAAGTATTCCTTATGCATCCTGCCAAAGAACAAGCAAAAGTGAGCGCTGACCCCCAGACTGTGAACTCTCAATACAGGCTTAGGGGTTCGAATTTAGGGCTGGGCACAGGGTTAAACAGACGGTACAGGGATGTACAGGGCTTACGTTTAGGAAGAGCAAGTGCACATATCGACTCAGTCTTCACAATGAAAGTACTCCGAGTAGACAAAACAACCCACCCCCAAGCACTGCAATCGTTCAGTCAGGGCCAACCGCTGCTGAAGGTGAGCCCTGTTTGAGAATGTAAGTTCTAGATGTTCGGGCGTAGAGGCCTGCCGGCTCGCAGTTCAAACCCCTTCTGAGAACCGAGGAACACGCTAGCTTTTGGGGACGCTCCCAAACGGAGGGTTGTTTTTCGCTGTGTGTGAGTTACAGGCGTTGATCATAATCGGATTGATCGCGGTCAAGTGCTATGGCAGGAGCGGCCACTCTCGTCGAATCTCCATGGCTTGAGTAGTAATTACTGTCGCCGACGCCCATCGTAGCAATAACAGTATCACTGATCATGCTAGCAATAATCGCAATGTTGGTCGTCATCCTACTTTGCCACCACGCTGTCACAAAAAGTGCACCCTCCTAATCAGAACAGAATCATCGCACTTGCGAGCAGATTGTCCTACCCATGGCAATTACAGTCGCAACCTCACAGGTGGTGCTTTCACAGTCAAAGCAGTGCAACTAATCAGAACTCCCAGTATCACTATCATGGTCCACAACCAACCAGTCGGCTGCGTCACAGCATGAAAAACTCACGCACGTGCGCGCGCATCCTTACACGTCATGACCATCAGGACTTTCGTAGCGGAGCCCGCGTAGAGTATCAACCACCGCAGTGACACCCCTGGAAAGACAGATATAGTGGCACTAGCAATCCAGGCAGCAAGTGGTAGTCGCCGTCCTCGTCGTCGTAGCAGCAGGCATGACAGTGGCAGTGGCAGTGGTAGTACAGAAGCAACAGCAACCTCGACGATGGTAGAAGCAGCAGCGGAAGAGGTGCCAGCAGCAGCATATTCAGCAGCAGCTTTACCTATGTAGTAGTAGTGTTATTGCTACTGAGCACACGAGAAAGAATTCGGCTTAAGCAGACTATGAAGACCGAGAGCGGCAGTAAGCCAAAAATGCAAAGATGTGATTCTGCTCAAGTGAACGACGCGACCATACTGACCAGGACGTGACTCCCAGAGTAGTAGCAGCAGGAGTAGCGGTGGGATTGATATGCAGAGGCAGCAGTTTCGAGAACCCCACAAGCACAAGGTGTGGCGGAGTGGGTACCAGTGCAGTTACAGTCTCTCTTATTAACTGTATGGTCGTGATGCTATTGATCGTTGTTTGAAGGACCCGTCGGTTTGTCTGGATGGACCTTATGATCAAAAGACGCTTGGCAAAGCTCAGTCCCAGGCGGTGGTCGGAAGCCCAAGCCCACGCCCAAACCCACCCCACGCCATCCGCACTAATACTACTAAGCTACAGAACAACTGGCCACAACTGACGAACGCGCAACTCCGCGCGCCCACACCGCTTTCGGGGATTAGCTAGTCCACTCCTTCACAAAGTTTTCTTTGCATGGTGGGGTTGTCGTGTTTCTGAGGGCTCGAATGCCTTTGACAGCATAGCATGCTTTGAGTCAGTCTTCATTGGTTTTGTCATGTGAGTCTAGGTCGGGGTTCATGCACGGCTTAGGGTCTTCGAGCTGTGGTGTAAGAAGACCATAATTTATCCAGGGGCTCGAGAAATAGGCTATTCCGAACCGCTCCAACTGTTGAAGAACTTCCCCAGAGCCCGGCTGGTTCTCTGAGACTCCCAGAAGTAGTTGCCGAGGCGATTTTCAGAACCTCCACGATGGCCTCTTTAGCATCATGGAGTCTTTAGCGCCTTGCTTGAAGGAAGGCTGGGCAGCTTCGGTTTAGGGTTTCTCACGTTCTATGCATGATGGAGCTCACCGGTTCGGTAAGTCGTAGTGTAGTTCAAAGCTGTCAGCATTTTTTTGGCCCGAAACCCTTGACCCTTCACCCTAAACGCCTGAACTGAATGCGGCTTTAGAAGTGGAGGTGGGCGGATCATGTCCGGTCCTGGGGAGTGGGGGGATATCTTTAAGCACCATGGGGTTGTGAGTAGAAACAAACCCGAAGCCCTGAGGCCGTAAAGGCTCCAACACCGGTAAAGGTGCTACCCTAAACCCGTCTAGGCTTGAAGCGCTACTACCCTAAACCCTCGAGGCTTTAAGCCCTAAACCCTAAACACAAGCGGCAACCCTTACAAATGACCAGGACAGCAGCGATCCAGCTTCGGACGGGCAAATCACGTGATAGAGGGGTCTGAATGAAAAGCAAACACCATCGCTTTGTCGTCCTTCGATAATGGCCAGATCTTCGGATATCCCTTCATTTAGGAATGTGTTGATGGGATCCCTGACATGATTTAGGGTACATGTATCCGTTCAGGGATATTGGAAGATCTGGGTATACCAAAGTATAAACCCTATTCTAATGACTTAGGCCACTAGTTGCGGACACTCAACCCAGATGCTGTCAGAGGTTTGGGAGTCGGTGTCCATCATTTCCGGGTGACCCGAAGCGAGAAACCTGAAACCGGTTGGGTGGTTGGTATTGTTATTGCTAGTACTAGTGTCATTACTCATGTCATCGTTACTACTGTTATTACCGTTAGTATTCTTCTTCTGCTTAGTACTACTAAGCCTATCTTGTATTATTATGACTACTGGTATTACCATTTTCCAGTGTAGTTTGTGTGCGCATACACACATACATATATACATGTGTTTAGGGATGTTCGGGAGTGTAGCTGCTTGCAGAACTGGGAGCGATAAGAGAAAATGCCCTCAAGCCTGAGACCCTAAACCCTAAGTCCTAGATCCTAAGGCCAAAACCATGATCCTAAATCCTACCCTAAATCCTAAATCCTAGTTTCTCAGGCCAAAACCTTAGACCTCAAACCCTAAAAAGCAGGGGGTTCAAAGACAGAAGCTTCGAAGTGCTTGTACCGGACAGTGCCGACCTTTGAGGTCTCGGGGGTCAATGAATTCAGTACTTTTTGATTGTATGCTATGGTTATCAGCATGTGACTGTTGTTGTTAGTGCTAGTTTTTTTTGCTATTGTGGTGTTATTGTTGTTATTGCTCTTCTGTCTTCTTGTTGTGATTATTATTGCAATTATTGTTAGTACTATTATTACTATTGCCAGGTTGAAATAGTATCATGCTTACTGTTGTTGTTATTACTAGTATTGTTATTGTCATTGTTGCTCGTATTGCTATTCTTATTCTTGTTGTAGTGAAATTGCTAGCAATTATCTTTATCACTACATTATTGTTATCACTATTTATTATTGCTATTATTTTATCATTCTTAATATCAAAGTTAGAAACTGATTACTACGTGTAATATCTGTATTAAAACGAGTGGCATTAATGTTAGTATTGCCATTTCTTTTTTCTATCGCTATTTGATCCGGTTATTGCTATCATCAACAGTATTACTGTCCATCTTATTCTTATTGGTTTTCTTCTTATCATCATCATGATTAATATAAGTGATCGTATCGTTGTCAGTATCAGTCTTTCTCATTGTTGCTATGTGTTATTGTTAATGCTGTGACTACCACGGACTTTGAGGGACGTGCCCCGGAACCCCTTTATACCCTCGTCTGCTCTAGGGTCAGCGGCATAAACCCAGAGAGCCCAATACCCCTTAATTAAGGAATATAGCTTAAATGATGATATGAAGCCCTATATAGTTTAAGCCATATTCCTTAATTAAGGGGCATTGGGCTTTCTGGGAAAGTTCGATGATGCCTGTGGAACTTAAGGCCGAGATGTCGGAAGACCATTTGCTTGCGAAGATGTCGCGCATGTGCCTTGGCATCTCTAGATCATGCCATCAGGGCCGTAGTATAGGTACCGGGTCTTGGATGATTACCAACAGTGTTAGGCCTTAGTGTTCCTTATTCTCACTAAAGTAGACTATACCCCAAAAACCCTATTCTAACCACCCTAAACCCTAAACCCTATACCCTAAGCCCCAAACCCTATACCCTAAACCCCAAACCCCTAAACCCTAAGCCCTATTCGAAGTATTGAGGCCCCTATGTGAGTCCCGAACGGTCGAGCTGCGGGATGGTTGCTTTTCTGAGACTTCCCGGTCCGCCGAAAACAGCCTTTGCGGAGGGACCCTTCATGGGGACCCCTACCCTATAATGGGCTATGTAATGGGTATATAATGGCTGTATTAAGGTATATACCTAGGGGTCCTTATTAAGGGTCGCAGGTGTGAGGTTCAAAATTGCGACCCCGAAAGCCCACGGACTCCGATATCCCTTGATTACGGAATATTCCTTAAATCACAAATTAGGGATCCTACTATAACTTGAGGTATGTTCCTTCATTGAGGGATATTGGAGTCTCTGGGAAAGCCCAAATCCTAAATTCTACCGGATGGTTTTTGAAAGAGCCCGGGGGCTCTTTGCCTTCCATGATCCTGGGAAGCTAATTCATCCACGCCCCGAAGGTGCCCCAGCATCCCTCAATGGGAGTTTCCGGAAATAGGGGACCTAAGGCTCCTTTAAAGGGTTCCTTAAAGGGATCTATAAGGGTTCTATAAAGGGTTTAGGGTTTAGGGAGTTTCCGAAAATAGGGGACCCTAAAATAGTATTTTAAATAGTAGGATCCTTATTCTAAGGACTCCCAGATAAGGTACCCTGATTTGCGGAAACTCCCAAATCCATGCACGCCAAAGCAAAGTCTCCAACAATCTGAGGGTTTCATAGAGCTGTACTATAGGGGCCTTGGCAATTAGAAAAGGGTTTTGGGGCCCACTATTTTACAATTTTAATAGGGAGCCCCCGAATTAGTATTGGTAATTGGTAATTATTAAGGCCCCTGTATTATGGGATCATGTACGGGTGATTGTAGGATTGTATTTGGAAACTGCGCATTCCTCCAATACTCCGGCAGCCCAGGCAGCCTTTCGATCAGAGCTTGCTGAAGAGCTGCATCTGCATGCTCTCTATGGAGGCCATGGTGTATTCTTTCACTTTTTTGGTGCTCGTGGGCCAGAGGTATAGGGTTCGGGGCTTATGATGAGCGCCGGTGACTGCTTCAGGGGCCTTCGAGCTGCACCCCAAACCCGACATTCCCAGACCTCTCGGTTTAGGGTTTAGGGTGTAGGGTTTAGGGTTTAGGGTTTAGGGCTGGGGAGGTAAGCCGGTGACCCTTGACCGAGTATGAGTATGTATGGGCCCCACGGGAATTAAGATGTTAACAGTTTTTGCCGAGGGTGCTCTCAGCCCTAAACCCCTGAACCCTGCACCCCCCAAAAAGAACCCGCAATTTATGACTCATATGGGTCCTAAAACATGAGAATAGGGCAATAGGGTTTGGGGCCCACTGTACTATAATCATAACAAGGAGCCCCCAAATAGTATTGGCAATTACTTAGGCCCCTATATTATAGAACCCTAGTACCCTTATAGATCCCTTTAATCAACGAAACTAAAGGAACTCTCAGGAATAGTATAGGTAATTTCGTAACGACCCACCTCTGAGAAGTGCTCGGAAGCCTTTGGCCTTCATTTTTGGGTGGACGAGTCGGTGTGGACCCCAGTCGGGTCGTCTCGGCCAGGACGATGCTTGCAGGTTGCGGGCTTCTTAGTTTAGGCTTCGAAGTTCGAAGTTTAGAAGTTTGGGGCTTCTCAGTTTAGGGTTCGAAGTTCGAAGTCTAGAAGTTTGGGGCTTAAGCTTAGGTCTTGCGGTTTTTAAGGGGATGTGCCCCCAAGACCTGCCCCAGTCCGAACCCTAAATCCTTTTGGGGGCTCGGCAGGGCTGAGTGCCTGTGAGAGAGAAGGGAAAAGAAACAGAACAGAAACGCACCCTCTTCAAAACCCTAAGCCCTAAACCAAGACCCTAAACCACAAAACTTAAACTTGTATGAAGACCCGAAAAAGTAATCCCCGAACTATGGTCGCTGATAGAATTCCTACATTACCTCATCGACCTAAACTATGGGAATGATGGTAGGTTCCTTAGTCTGGGTAATGCAGGATATATATCATCAGCCGTAGGGTTTAGGGTTCGTACTAAGCCAGACCACCGAGACCATGGAGCCTTGCATCCTGCCGTCAGGTTGTTCCACATGACGCCTTCCGGACCTCCATGCAGATGAAGACTGGCTGAACGGCTTTGGGGGCTTTGGAGGTATGTAATAGATCATAGTAGACTAGGCTATATCACAGTAAAGTCAATTCTAGTAAATCTTACAACATCCATATATATATATATATATATATGTATATATACATATATACATATTAATTATATGGATGTGCACAGTATAAGTCTAGGGCTTCAGACGTTGAGGTGTTGGGGCCAATTTTGTTGCAGCTGAAGCATCGGGGAGCAGGATCTGATTCTTAGAAGCTTTCCTCCGGGACGATGACTTTCCCTAAGGCTCCAAATAGCCCAAAGTAGGTACAATTTATAGACTCTAGAGCCCAAAGTAGGTAGCATTTGTATACTTGGAGTCTTAGGGCTTTGTGGAGTACGGAATGAGGGAACGGATCCCTGTAGTAGCCCCTGCTTAATCCCCAGTAATCGCCTCCATAATCCATTCCACCATTCCCTACTTAAGGACCAGACAGTTATGGTGCTGAGTGAAATGTGCGAGGTCCAGTCTCTTGAGAGTTTTTGAGGCCCAAATCTCGAGCGGCCTTGTATCTTGCTGCCCAGGCCACCAAACGGCTTCGGGTTTAGGGTCCGACGTTTGATGAGAAAAGTCCTGCATTGCCCAAAATAAGGAATATACCACAATTCCCATAGTTTTCGGTCCTCCAGGTAATGCAGGAATTCATATCATCAACCGGAGCTTCTAAATCCCGACGGACACCACGGAAGCGGCAAGAGAACAAACGAACCCAACACCCGTCAATGGTGCAGTGGAGCATGCCCTCTATTCGAGACAAGGCAACCCTGAACTCCTTCTAAGACGATCCCCAATCCCAAGCCCAAGACCCTCAAAGTAACCCAGAACTCGAACCCGTAGCCAAACGCTGTTCAGCTTAGGAGAGCGACCGCCCGCATCAGGCGGAGGGGTCGGGACTCCTTTAGGGCTTAGGATTTAGGGTTTAGGGGCGCCTTCTTCGAAGGTCTTTGAAAGGATTCTGACTTCTGGCAGAGTTTGCCCCGGCGTGATGTGCATTTTTCAACAGAGCGGTGTTCACTGCTCGTGTTCCCTTGATTCTAGGCCCTCAGCCCCCTACATCCCTAAAGGTTTTCGGGCCTCTGCCCTAAATCCTGACGCCAAAGCCTACAGTAACCAACGCCAGGAGTCTGACGACATGGGCCGTATATAACATTGGGGTCTGAATGTTTTGTATTGATACTCGCGTTGTCGTCCTTCAAGACACACAGCGCAAGATGTAATGAAATACCCGTGGTACTCCTTGTAGAGTCATAGCAAAATATATTCCAGACCCCAGTCGCCCCCAGCCCAGCAGGCTTCCTGATTGAAAAACGGAGGGTTCAGGTTGAGGGTTTGGGGTTGGGCCCATAAAATGAGACAGCTCCAGCATGTCAAAGCTGAAGCCTTAAAATCCTAAATCCTAAACCTTAAATCCCAACTCCCGAACCCTAAACCCTAAATCCCAAACCCTAAACCCTAAATCCACATGTAGGTTTTTTTTAAAGGAAGCCTTAAGCCCGAAATCCCAGAATCCCCAAACCCCATCACCAGCCAGAGGTCTTCCTACCGAACCTCCTACAGCCTCGATCGGCTGGCAGAGACCGGTCTGTCCGACGACGAGGACGAAAAACAGTTCTTTGTGGGGCGGAGCTAGAGTTTTCAGAGTTCAGGGGTTTAGGGATTTGTGGGTTTAGGGTTTAGGGTCAAGGTTCAGGATTTAGGGATTTATGGGTTTGGGCTGCAAGATTTGGAGGAATAGGTTCTGCGACAAACTCTAGGATTGGGTTGAAGGTGAAGGGGTTGACTGAAGATCTCCGCGCCTAATCGGAGGGCCGGTGGGTTTCGTTGAAGCCTTCTTAAGACTACAGGGGAAAAGGAGGGACCCGTTAATGGGGACCCCTACCCTCTAATGGGCTATAGAAAGGGCTATATAATAGCTATATTAAGGGTATATACCTAGAGGTCCTTATTAAGGGTCCCTCCTTTTCCCCTTTGATAAGACAAGCCAAGGTGGGATAAATCCTAGAAGCCGTTGCAAAATATCTCTTTGCTCGATCATTTAAACCACCTTGAGAGTGAAACAGCTTCGAAGAGCAGCCACGCTCGCCCTTCTCATTGAAACGAATCCCTTTAACTTCGTGCCTCAGTCTTTGAGGCCCTGTTGTTGCCGCCTCCGTCTTGATCGCGTTGATTCGGTTCGACAGCTTATTCCGTGTAATGAATCCATTTTGGGCTGCTTTTCTTTTCTATAGCTGCGCTGTACCAAGACCTTTTCTCTAGCTATGAAGGCCCCTATATTGCTAGTCTGGTGTGTGTGGGGACCCTTGAATAGTATTTTAGGGTCCCGGGTCTCCGCGGCCACAAATGCGATTTTTCCTCGGGAAAACTAGCCAGTGAGGCCACAACAAGGCCACCAGCTCATAAGAATCCGCTCTCGCATCGCTCACGGGACACAGAAGACCGGAGGTGGAAACACGCATGGGTGGTTGTGAAAGTTATGGTCCCTGTTTGGGTCCTTAATATAATACGGCACCTATCATGTAAGGGACCCTAAATTTGACAACTACACACATGAAGCTGCCCGACTCTACTGTCCAGTATCCAGGCCTGTAAAAAACTTTTCTCTCGACTTCGTTCGTGTCAAGCTTCTAACTCCATTGGGACCTAAGATTGAGCAGAGACTCAATCGTCCAAATTCCGAACTGTCGCGTCTCGTGCCGATTTCTTGCCGACGGGTTCTTTGCAACGCTAAATCCCCAGACCCTAAACCCTGCATCGGACGATGCACTTTCGGCAGAGCTCTGAGTATTATGGCAGTTTGTGCGGGTGGGAGGTGGGGCCGTCTTCACTGGTTGCGAACGAACTGTTCAGGCTCAAGAGGACCAAGAAATCGTGGGGAAAGTAAGCGGGATTTTGAAAAGCTTTCTATCTTCTGAATGTCATGGGATTGTTTGGGCAGGTGGGTGTTTTTCCAGCTTTAACACCGTACTGCTGGCCTAGCGATATCTTCGCCCAGCAAATCGTAAACTCCACGCCCTAAACCCTAAGCCCGGTCACCAAGCCCTACGGTTGATGATATAAATCCTGCACTGCCTTCATGACGCTAGACTATGGGAATGATGGTATGTTCCTTATTGGGGTAAGGCAGGATCCTTTTCGGGGTTGATGGTTCACCATAAGCCCGGAAGAACCCTAAACCCTAAATAAACCCTACAACACCGAAACCATGCCTTGTTGAGGAGTCGGACAGGAAGGACGAGCGAAGCGTGGAGGTTGGGCCAGATTTCTAGTCACTCTAACCCTAGATACTATTGAATCGGATACAAGTACAAAAGAAAATTACCATACTAGAGTATCTTAAAAGTCTGATAGTATGGTACAGTATGTTGTGGTATGTTGTAGTAGTATGCTAATCGTATACTTGATATACTACAGTAGACTATGTAGTGTACTGTAGTATACTTCGTATAATATAGTCGACTATAGCATGCCATAGTATGCTGGGTTGGCGATTTCGGGCTTGCGAAGAGCTTATTTTGGGCGTTTGGGGCTCAGTGGTTTCATGGTTTAAGGCCTTCTTGAACCCCTATATAACCCTAAACCCCTAAACCCTAAACCCTAAACCCCTAAGCCCCTAAACCCCTAAACCCCCAAGCCCGGATCCCTGAAGCCTCAGGCCTTATGTAAGCTCGGATGTTTGGGCAGACACGAAAATGAGCTCAAAAAGCACGAAACTCCCTAAACTCTAAGTCGGGAATCGAAGCAGGAGAGGCCTCTTCACCGTACGAGCCCCGCGCGGCAAACTGATCCGCAGTTGTTTGGTGCCTTGTTTTCGTAAAACTGCTCTTCATTTGGGCGGTTGTCAAAATTATGGTCCTTTTTGGGGTACCCTAAATATTAGGTGCCGTATTATAATAAGGACCCAAACAGGGACCCTAATTTTGATAACTACCCATTTAGAGCCCATTATCCTTTAGTATAACACGGCCTGAAAGCCCTCAGCCTCGAATGTTTCTTGCATGGGACCAGGCGACAGATTCTCCGGATCCAAGCGAGGAAAGTTCTGCAGGCCCACTGCGACCTTGTGGTACGGAGTGACATGTTGATGTAAGTTCACGCACACCCCATCGTATGCAAGTGTTCTCTTAGCCATTTAACAAAGAGGATAGAGGAGAGTGTGTTTTACTGCGTGGTGCCATGTTGCAGTACGATTTCGGTGCCGCCCGGTCACCACAGCATGTGAGAGCATCCTGTGGCCGCAGCAAGTAACAGCATGCCATAGATACCCTATGCAGTGCTACACATACCCTAAACCCCAAACCCCAGGCTCTAAACCCTACTAAGTTTTGGGCAGGTTACAAGGTATCAGTTATACCTTTGACGTGTGGGGGGCTTGGGGCATCCGGCGTTTTGAGTCTTTGTCGAGCTTGAGGCGCAACAGTCTGGCCAAGTTTCATCCAGAAACTCCTTGATGCCCGGATCTGCCCCGAATCGGTTCAGAAGGCACAGGAGTATATTGTAGTATACTATGGCAATATACTTTATGTACTACTGATTGTCCTTTGGGATCTTGTTTAATTTCCCCTACTACTTTGTAGAGAACTATAATAGTAAATAATTTTCGAAGGGCTTAAAGGACAACTCAGACTATGTTTCGGTTTGGAAGGCCGAAGGTCTTTTCGAATTTCTGAAGCAATCAGGAACCCGAACCCCCAAACTTCGAACCTTTGTCATGGTGGTGAGGCTCCTTTCTAACAGTCGAAGTTGGCTCCCCCGACAAGGACACGCAATAGAAAAGAAATGTGACGCATCTCTAAATTTGGCTTCCTCGCAGTGTTATTCTTACCCTAAACTAAACCCTAAACCCTTGTGAGAATGACATACTTTTCTGGGGATCCGAAACGGAATCCGATCTCAGAGACCGCTCGCCCGCAAATCAAACCTGTAGCAAGTCCTTGCCGCAGGGGTTAAAGGTCTAGGGCTTGAGGTTTAAAGTTTGGGGTTTCAGGGTTTTAAAGCCCAGACTGCGAACATCTCGCAGAGCTCTCATGCTTAAACCCGACGCCTAGACTCGAAACCCTAAACCCAATGCACTCGAAAACATCCTTTAGGACGCCGGCAGTCGTAAAAAGGTGCTCCAAAAAAGCTTAAACCCCTAAACCCTCAGCCCATGAAGGTAAGTCCAACATGCGTGTTTGCCACGTCTCGCACCTCGCCCGGCTTAATTAGGGGTTTGGCAACTCTGGGTTTAGGGTTTAGGGTTTGGTTTAGCGTTGAGGTGAGTTGAGCTCGGATTGGTTGTTCTGCCCTTTCTTCAAGTTGATCTTAGGGCTTTTAGGCTTTTTCCCAGTGCAGTTGGGTTTTTGGATGTACAAGGTTTCCGCTCTGTTAGCGTTTCGGAGTTAGCGATTTTCAGTTCGGCGTCCGCACTGAATATGCATGCATTCGTGCATTCATGCAAGCATGTATGTACGTATGTATGATGTACGTATGTATGGTATCTATCGATCTATCTATCTATCTCTCTGTCTCTCTGTCTCTCTGCCTGCTTGTCTGTCCATCTTTCCATCTGTCCATCTGTCCATCTGTCCATCTGTTCGTCTGTCCGTCTTGTCTATCTGTCTATCTGTCCATCTCTGTCTCTCTCTATCTCTTTATTTCTGTGTCTTTCTGTCTGGGTCTCTCTGTCTCTTTATCTCTGTATATTTTTGTCTATCCATCTACATATCCATCTATCCTTCTATCATTCCGTTTATCTCTTTATCCATCTATCATTCCATTTACCCATTTAACCATCTATGCATAAATCCATCTTTCCATCTACCCATCTATCCATCTACCCATCTAGCCATCTATCCATCTATCCAGATATCCATCTATCTCATCCATCCATCTATCCATCCATGCCCCAATCCATCCATCCGTCTGTCTATCTACCTATCCGTACTCCCAAAGTGGTCGACGAACAGATCCCGCACTTGACACCTGCCTGGGCCCGTGGAACTGAATTTCTCTTGGTGGTATGTTGATGCGGTTTAAAAATCTGTTCTGGGTGCGTATTGTATGCGTCCCATCATGTTCTCGTTGCACCCTAGAAAGAACAGGTTTACGAGCGTCAAAACCCGATGGCAGGAATGCGATGCGTCTGCCAACCCTCTACGCCCCAATGTCGTTCAAAAGCACTAGTTGTGCAGGCCGCGGTGGTGAACCAAGCTGCATATGCCGAGCCATCAGCATGATGTAAAGAGTCACCGTCAGTCTTAGCACAGGTGGTGATCATGGTGATGGTGAGGGTACTCAGAAGGGTATTGGCAACAAGGGCCAATGACAACAATAACAACCACTACTTGGAGGTTCATGGGTTGTTAAAAGTGGGGTTATCAGTCCCCGAATATGGGTTATAATTACAGTGACCTGCTTATAACTCCATTTCTAACTACCCAAGAACCTCCAAGTAGCCGATGTGTGATGCTGAATGACAGCAGCAATGTTCGTGACTGTGCGAGAACCATATACGGTGACAGCCAGAATGCCGAAGATCTCGGGAAGCGGAAGCTCGAACTCCGAAGCCCCTACACCCGGCACCCTGAAACCCTGAAACCCTAAACCCTAAACCCAAACCCAAACCCTGAACCCTAAACCCTAAACCCCAAACCCGAAACCCTAAACCCCAAACCGATGCAGAATGCCGACATAGGTTCTCGCCCTCGATTGGCTCCACACAGGATGAGGAGGCCTTGCACGGACGGGATTTGTGTCTAAGGTCGTATTTTCGTCCTCTTCCACCCTGTTCTCACACTCAAGACTAGTATTGATAACAGTAATAAGAATAACAAATATTTTTATATCCCTCATATCTTGAGATCACGACCCTAGGTCAAGGGTGGAGAGGGTTATCAACGGATCCTGCTGAGAGCCATTGCTTTTGGCGAGGCAAGATGTTGAAGGTGATGTTTGTATTGGAGATGTGGCTGAAGATGATGCTGGTAAATACACAAACGAGCTCTGTGACGATGAGTCTCTGCGTCGTGGTGGGTTGGGTGCTCGCCGTCGACATGTCCATCTTCTTCTAGCACCCAGGCTGTCATCTGCGTAACCTCATCGTCACACTCACAGCACTGGGCTCCCCCTGCTCCTCCCTAAACCCTGAAGCCTAAACCCTGAACCCTAAACCCCAAACCCCCTCCTCCGCAGGCTCCCACACACCACCTTAATCGCAATCAGCCGTCTCCCTCCTGGGTTCTTAAGGAGCTTAATCAAAGTTGTCAAAGCCCGGAGCGCTGAAGTGCATACCTCTTTTCGGGATTCCTTATTCTGACTTCGCGAAAAGTTTTTGTCCTCAAGTTCAGGACTTATATAGGAAGTTCTAGAAAGCCATCCCCAAGAGGAACAAGCCAGGTTTTGTAAAAGGCCAAGACCCGCAAACCATGGAGCTGAGATTTGAAACAACCCAAGGGTTTAGGGTTTAGGGTTTAGAGTTTAGGTTTTAGGGTTTAGGATTTAGGGTTCTGGGTTTGGGGTTTAGGATTTAGGGTTCAGGGTTTAGGGTTTAGAGTTTAGGGTTCAGCAGCTCTGGTCGAGCAGTATCTAGTCAAGTTCGCTAGTAAGAACATGGAAGAATACCCACCCACCCAAAGAATCCCAAAACATAAGAGTTAGAAAGTTATTGTTCGTTACCCTCAGACGAGATCAAACCTCAAACCCTACGCCTTGATTTCTAGGGTATACTTATGTTTCTATTGCTGCAGATCTTAAACTTTAAGTTTGTTGAACGGTCACCTGCTGCAGAAGCTAAACCCTAAATTTATTAGAGTGTCAGCACCTTTGGTTCATGGTCGTAACTTCCTCATTGCAGAAGCTAAACCCTAAAGATAATCTAAGGTGAACACCCTGGTAGTCTTGAGTGAAGTAGCTACTCTTAAATACTAAGTTTCTTGAAGAGGCACCTGGACACATTTCAGGCCGGAAATGTGTCATCTTTTCCGCCTTGCAGAAAGAAGCATGACACATTTCAGGCCGGAAATGTGTCATCGTTTCCGCCTTACAGAAAGAAGCATGACACATTTCAGGCCGGAAATGTGTCATCTTTTCCGCCTTACAGCAAGAAGCATGACACATTTCAGGCCGGAAATGTGTCATCATTTCCGCCTTACAGAAGGAAGCATGACACATTTCAGGCCGGAAATGTGTCATCTTTTCCGCCTTACAGAAGGAAGCATGACACATTTCAGGCCGGAAATGTGTCATCTTTTCCGCCTTACAGAAAGCAGCATGACACATTTCAGGCCGGAAATGTGTCATCTTTTCCGCCTTACAGAAAGAAGCATGACACATTTCAGGCCGGAAATGTGTCATCTTTTCCGCCTTACAGAAAGAAACATGACACACTTCAGGCCAGAAATGTGTCATCTTTTCCGCCTTACAGAAAGAAGCCCTAAAGCCCAAACCCTTGGCCCTAAATCCTAAAGGCCAAACCCTAAACCCTAAAGCCCAAACCCAAAAGCCCAAACCCTAGGCCCTAAACCCCAAGCGCTAAACCCTAAACCCTAAAGGCCAAACCCTAGGCCCTAAACCCTATAGCCCAAACCCTAGGCCCTAAACCCTAAAGGCCAAACCCGAGGCCCTAAACCCTAAAACCCAAACCCTATAGGCCCTAAACCCTAAAGCCCAAACCCTAAAGCCCAAACCCTAGGCCCTAAACCCCAAGCGCTAAACCCTAAACCCTAAAGGCCAAACCCTAGGCCCTAAACCCTAAAGCCCAAACCCTAGGCCCTAAAGGCCAAATGCTAGGAATTCGAAAACCTGGCTGAACACTGGTGGGACCAGTGTTCAGCTAGGTTTTTGAATGGACCCCCCAATGTTCAGCTAGGTTTTCGAACTCGAAAACCTGGCTGAACACTGGTGGGACCAGTGTTCAGCTAGGTTTTCGAATGGACCCCCCAATGTTCAGCCAGGTTTTCGAATGGACCCCCCAGTGTTCAGCTAGGTTTTCGAATTCGAAAACCTGGCTGAACACTGGTGGGACCAGTGTTCAGCTAGGTTTTGGAATGGACCCCCCAGTGTTCAGCCAGGTTTCCAAAATTGAAAACCTGGCTGAACACTTGTGGGACCAGTGTTCAGCTAGGTTTTCGAATGGACGCCCCAGTGTTCAGCCAGGTTTTCAAATTTGAAATCCTGGCTGAACACTGGTCCCACCAGTTTGCAGCCAGGTTTTCGAATTCGAAAACCTGGCTGAACACTGGTGGGTAAATTCGAAAACCTAGCTGAACATACGGGGGGACCAGTGTTCAGCCAGGTTTTCGAATTCGAAAACCTGGCTGAACACTGGTAGGTAAATTCGAAAACCTGGCTGAAAAGTGGTGGGTAAATTCGAAAACCTAGCTGAACACTGGGGGGTCCTGACGAAAACCTAGCTGAACATTGAGGGGGTCCGTGACGAAAACATGGCTCAACATTTAGATACTCATTTGAGAGAGAGGGTTTAGGGTTTAAAGTTTAGGGTCAAATCCAGAAGCATCAAAAGCTTTCCGAGCTCCCGGTCCTACAGAATCGAGCCCGCAGAACTGAAAGCAGCCTAACCTACATTTTTAGGGTTCCGTTAATATCATTTCCTTCTATAAGTCCTGCAAAAGGTAGGTTATTGGGGGTTGAGCCTTACGCCCTGGAGCAGAAGCCCTAAACCCTCTTCTCTAGCGTTCAGGTTTAGTTTGGAGGGTTTAGGGATCCCCCAAACCCCCAACCGGGATGCTTAGGGATCCTAAGCTGAAGGGTTCTCACACTCACACAGTATAGTAAACCCCAAAACCCTATTAAAATCATCAAGGCCCTTTTATGGGGTGTCCCAAAATTTGGGTACCTTATTCTGGGGTGCTTATTATATATATATATATATACATATATATATATATATATATATATAAGAATTCCATTGTTTAGGGTACTATATTAGGGTCCCCTATTTTCGGAAACCCCCATATCAGACCCTCATAGCCTTCATGGCCAGGGCTCCGGCTCGTCGCCAGAAGTTTTCAGTGAGGAGCTGTGAGGCTTCTGAGCGACTTCCAAGGCTCGAAACCCCGAATTGGGGTTGCTTTAACACCTGTGGTTCCGAATTCGAGTCGTTGAGCCCGATTTCAATCGAGTTCCCAAATCTTCAGAACATCACCCGTCCACGAATCATCAGCCCTCCAGCCCAGAAACCTTTGATTTCCAGCCAATCGGCTTTGCAGGAAATCTGAAGTTTGTTGTTCAACGCATCTGGAGCCTGAAAGATAGGCTGTTTGGCTTTGATCGGTTTCCGAATCGAAATGATCAGGGTTTGGACGTCAGGTTCCAGGGTTCTGTCCAATATCCAGTCAGTGCGAATGCAGGGAGAATTGATCACCGAGGAACAGGTCAATACGGCAAGATCTGTTTGAGGGTTGGGTCTAGAAGTTTAGGGTTTGGAAATGTGGCATCGTTGTCAATCTTCGGGTGCAGCCAACGGAGCATATTTTCGAGGCTACCTAAACCAGATCATTTTTTCCGGAGCAGACCATCTGAGAAACTGCGTCCTTTTACTTGCAACACTTCTAGGGGCTCGGTGTGCTTTATGCCCTTGACCCTAAACCCACCCTTGTAGATCCCTTTAAGGAACCCCTATAGATCCCTTGAAGTATACCCCTGTAGATCCCTTTAAGGCCCTATAGATCCCTTTAAGTATATACCCTCCAGACTGGAACATGCCAGCATGACTCCTGAGCAGATCAGCAGAAGATGTTGAAAAAAGTGGTCAAGTGCAGCTTCAGCTTGAAAAAACCCAGCCAAGCAAGATCCCAAAGCCTGAAATAGGGGGGCCGGAATAATTGCCAGTACCATTTTGGGGCTCCTTATCATAGAGTATACGAAGCCCTATTCGCAAGACCCCAAGACCTCAAACACCTGAACACCCCACCGATTCCGATCCCGGTGTCGGATGAGGGAAAGTCATAACAGCCGGACTTTTCGCCAGTCCGCTGTCAGAGATCGTTTCAGCAGGGGCCTGAGTCCTCGAGTTGTCAAGTCTCATTGCTCCATGGTTTCGCTTCACTTGGCGTAATGAATGTGGGGCCTCAAATAATTGGAATTGGAATCATATTTACTGGGTCTTAAATATAGTGGGGACTCTCAATCCTGAAAGAGACGCAAAGGCCCTGCATGCAGCCTAGACACTCACACTCTCAAGGGGTTCCTTAGTGTAGCTATACTGTCAGATACCACCAAAAACCCTTTTCCAATCGTTGAGCCCTTATTTCGCAGTTTGGTGGTCCCAAGAGGTAGGACTTGACCTGGAGCCAGCTCATGACCCCTTGCCCGAAAGCTGCTGTCAGAGCTGGCTGTACAGCGTAGGCTTTGCCCAGGAGATGCTGAAGCCAAAGTAGAGCTACTATGTCGGGAGTCACGATGCGATCTCTGAAGCGGCTGCATGCAGAAAATGATCCAACATGCTCGGAATGAATGCTGACCTGGCACCTTGACGGCGGCCTGTACGTAAGTGCTACCAAGGTGATGGTTCGCAGCGTTCGATAAAAGCTTTCGGGCAAGCATGTTTCATGTTGTCTGTCATTGAGGACCTCTGTACACATGGAAAGGAAAGGCTGCTACATCCGGACTTAGCAGCAGCAGTAGTAGCAGTAGTAGTCGCAGTAGTCGTAATAGTGATCGTAGCAGTAGCAGTTGCAATAGCAGAGCTTTTTCTTGACTCGGCCAGCCGGGCAAAAGTTGCTGGTCTGCACCTATCAGAGACATGTCGTGTTAACCGCACGATAGATCAGGGTTTCGCCGGCTCTCTGAAACCAGAGCCCCGATCTAATGTGAAGGCCTTGAAGTCTGCCCCTCAATGCTGGGAAATCCGTGCTGTTGAAGGCGCACCGGCCCCCAAAGCCAGCTCGAACTCTTCGATCCCCTTCCTTAGATCTAAACCATGCAAGCCCAGCAAGGGCTGTGTGGGCTCGGGTTTAGGCTTTAGGGTCTGCGGGTTTATTGTTTGGGCTTAGGGTAGGTTTAGGGTTTAGGGCCAGTTTAGGGATTGAAGAGCTAGGGCTTCAGGAATGCCCAGACGCTTCCGAAACCTTCGGCCAAACTCCGATCGACCGAAACCCCCCATTTTCCAGGTTGCGGAGCCATGAGCCCGAATCCCCCGAAGGGGGGAAGCGGGCTCTGACCTTCCTTTGCCTCATAAGCGGAATAGCCTTGCCCATGAAGGTTATGAATCGGGTATCTGCATCTAGAAGACATTATGACGGCTTCCCGATGGTGAATGTATAGCTTGCTGCGCTGATCGCGGTTGCACACGTGTTCATGTGGTGAATCAGGTGGGATGAGAGTTCACATGAGGCAGAGGGGAGCAAATGTCCCGCTGCGAAGCAGCTCCGTGCAAGCTTCCGGCTTACGCGCCCCCTCTTTCCGAAGCGCAACCTTCGAGAGGTCCGAATGCCAGCGGTAGTCCCAAACTGTCAACCTCGAACGCGAGACATCTAGTCTATATCCTCAGCCTCGAACCCCAAACACGGAAGCTGAATTCCAGGACTCCAAACCCTAGTAGTTCCGGTGTATCATGTATATGAAGTGGCGTTAGTCTTCGGGCTTTAGTGAGTGTACACCGGGTCTTAGGATTGTTCCCGAGTGGATGTTTCGATTTCCTGTTTGGAGGCCAGCTAAGCATGAAACCGTACTTCAAAAAGAAGGGTTGTCTAGACCTCCAAAGCAACCCAAGATTTCCATATGGTAATGCTAGGACAGCTGCAGCTACGGTAATGATGATAACGATGAAGACGAAGGTGGCGATAATCAGGGTATCCAGATGGATATGCATTGCCAAGTAGTCAAACTCGTGATCAGCCACCGCATCAGCACTACGAGCGCGTGGGGCTGTAAGATTCCGTAAGATTCTTATTTGCTCTGGTGTCAGCGGTTTAAGCATCGCTTGTTTGGGGTGTAGGGGGCAAGCTTTCAGGTTTGCTGACGTCCGGTTGAATATTTCAGCTTTTGGTCGCAGACTTCGGCATCATGTCGCAATCGAAGCCCATGTGAGGGCCCTCAGGACGACCATAGCGCTTCGATATTGAGAACTGGACAGTGAGTTTGAGTGCAGCAGACGCCGGAAACTTGTTTGCCGTGCTTTATTGCCGATTTTGTCAAAAGACTTGCGACGAATCATGCGAGCGTGGTTCGAAAAGCCATGCTAATGAACTGGGTAGCAGACGGCTCTGGCCATGAGCTTGGCTGGCTTCAACATAGTGCTGCCTGGGTCCTGGTGGCACCGACTGACAGACAGCAAGAATCATCTATCAAGCTCACTAAACCCTAAACCGTAATCCCTAGACCTTAAACCCCTTAGCCCTAAACCCCATAGAGCCCTAAACCCTAAACCCTAAACCCCAAACCTTACGCGTCCCAGCCCTAAGCCGTAACAAGAAACCGCCCTTGTTCGCATCAGGAGGTCGGCTGCCCGCTTCCAGCGAACCATCGTAGTTTTTGGGTTTGGGATTTAAGGGTTTAGAGTTTAAGCGTATAGGGTTTTGGAGTTCAGAGTTTACTTCGCCCTTTCGACTTCTATTTTTTTGGAGCTATTCTCACTACAAGGGATACTGATTAGGAGACTCTGTAAGAGACCTTTTCCAGAGCTTGCAAATGTGCTGGTCCACACGAGTGTATCGGAGTTTCGTGTTTTCCGGAGCTGATCTTTGGAAATATTGGCAACCCGAATTCCCTAAACCCCCAAATGTGCAGTGACAGCCCAACCGGTTTAGGGGTTAGGGTTTAGGATTTAGGTTTTCTCAATCCGTTGACATGCCACATGTTCACACACCAGCGGTAGCCCCAAACCGTCAACCTCGAGCGCGAAACATCTAGTACAGGGGCCTTAATCTTCATCATTACCTATACTATTCTGGGCGTTCCATACTATACATCTAGTATAGGGGCCTTAGTTATTACGTATACTCTTTTGGGGGTTCCATATTATAATTATAGTATAACGGGCCCCGCAAATTAGTGCCCCTATAGTAGTCTATATCCTCAACCTCGAGCCCGAAAGCCGGATGTTGAATTCTAAGACTCCAAAACCCTAGTAGTTCCGGTGTATCATGTGGGTGGTTGTCAAAATTAAGGTCCTTTTTTGGGTAACCTAAGTAGTAGGTGCCGTATTGTAGCAAAGATCCAAAAAGGTACCCTAATTTTGACAACCACCCATGTATATGACGTGGCTTTCGTCTTTGGGCTTTGGTGGGTGTATAAAGGGCCGTAGGATTATTCTTGAGTGGATGTTTCCGTTTCCTGTTCGGGGGCTAGCTAAGCATGAAACCGTACTTCAAAAAGAAGGGTTGTCTACCTGCTGTGAGAGGGGACCTCCAAAGCAGCCCAAGATTTCCATATGGTAATGCCAGGACAGCTGCAGCTACGGTAATGATGATAACGATGAAGACGATAGTGGCAATAATCAGGGTATCCAGATCGATGTGCATTACTGAGTAGTCAAGCTCGGGATCAGCTACCGCATCAGCACTGCGAGCGCTTGGGGCCGTAAGATGCTAACTACTCTGGTGTCAGCGGTTTAAGAATCTCTTGTTTGGGGTGTACGGGGCAGGCTTTCAGGTTTGCTGACGTCTGGTTGAAAATTTCAGCTTTTGGTTGCAGACTTCGGTATCATGTCGCGATCGAAGCCCATGTGACGGCCCTCAGGACGACCATAGCGCTTCGATATTGAGAACTGGACAGTGAGTTTGAGTGCAGCGTATCACCGTCTGACCAGCTAGATTGCTACACATTTGCCTTCTTTCAACAGAACGTTCACCTTACCACGACCAGACCCTGGAAACTGTGTCTTGTTTCACATTTGCATTTGAAAAGTTCCTTTCTCATGGTAAAATGATTTTGCCATCGTTAGAAAACCCCTCTCTGTATTTCTTTCCCATCTTCGGTGATTAAGTCACGCAATGTCCGGAGACGATGTCCCTCGCTTTGAACTCGTACCTGAGTTCGGGGTCATCCTGCTAAAGCATGTCCTGTCAACATCAGAGCAGCTTGCACTGTACAAGCAGGTGAAAGATGAGGTAAAGACAGGGCAAAGAGGCGTCCCAGGTAACTTCCATCTCTCAAGTGGTGCCGCAGGAAGTTCACATCGACGGGACGCACTCCACGAGCTGGGCAATCTTTTGTTCCACCGGGCGGCAACGGCAGCGGCTTCAATCAAGGAAGATGTATCGGGGGAGGACGCTACAACAATGGAGCCCTCATTGAACAGACTCCAGCAAGTGCTCTCAGGGGAGAGGCCAGCGGATGTTCAGTACGTGGCGGGGGTAGCCTACACATCCACTGCCAAGCTGGCTAACCACTGCGACATGAACAAGCCCCTCTACACGATGTCCCTCGCCCTCGGTGAGGCCTGTGATTTTACTTTTGGCGAAAAGACCGCCAGGCCATACCCAAACGAGAGGAGCGGAAAGCCCGTTAGTCTGCGGATGGAGAGTGGTGACGCCATGTTCTTCGACGGAGGGAGCATTCCGCATGCAGTGGACGGTCTTGTGGCTGGATCGGCCCCCGACTGGTGGGCAAAGGCCGGACCTAAGTGCTCACGAGTAAGCTTTCTCTTCCGCGAGGCTTAGTGGATTACATTTAGAGGCGTTTTGTCAAAAGACTTGCGACGAATCATGCGATCGTGGTTCGAAAAGCCATGCTCATGAACTGGGTAACAGACGACTTTGGCCATGAGCTTGGTTGGTTTCAACATAGTGCTTCCAGTTGCCTGGGTCCTTGTAACACCGACTGACAGACAGCAAGAATCATCTATCAAGTTCACTAAACCCTAAACCGTAATCCCTAGACCTTAAACCCTTAGCCCTGAACCCCATACAGCCCTAAACCCTAAACCCTAAAACCCTAAACCCCAAACCCCAAACCTTGTGCCTTCTGGCCCTAAGCCGTAACAAGAAACCGCCCTTGTTCGCAGCAGGAGGTCGGCTACGTACCCGCTCTGAGCGAACCACTGTAGTTTTTGGGTCTGGGATTTGAGGGTTTAGAGTTTAAGGGTATAGGGTTCAGGATTTTAGAGTTCAGAGCTTACTTCGCCCGTTCGACTTCTGTTTTTTCGTGCTGTTCTCGCTGCGTATCGGAGTTTGTGTTTTCTGGAGCTGATCGTTGGACATTGCTGTGGAAACCCTAAACCCCCAAAGCATTAAATGTTCAGTGACAGCCCAACCGGTTGAAGGGTTAGGGTTTAGGATTTAGGTTTTCTCATTCCGTTGACATGCCACATGTTCACTCGCTGACTTGGAGTGTTGATGTCCGTTCTTGAGCATCAGTCGTTTGACTGTCAGCATTATGGAAGGCACCTGAAGAACAAGAAGCTGGCTATCATGCCTACCTGTCTCGCATCTGTCTTCAGAACTGTATCAGCTCCAGGCCGCAAGGCTCTGACACATTCATCGAACAGCCGAAGTCAGGAGGTTTCAAAACCTGAGCTTTGGTTGCCTTAATTTATTTAATAATTACCTATACTATTCACGGGTTTCCTGATTACAAGCCTTTCACTACATTAAGGCCCTCACATTACAGGAAACTCTTTTGACCCTCATCGCCACATGGCTTTTCTTGTCTGGCTGTGATCGCCCTGCTTCTTCTTCCCCGGTAGTATCAGGGAGACCCCTCAAAGGGGGCCGTTCTTAAACCCCGCTTCCGGCTCTCTTAAAAGGGAACTTATTGAGTCTATATCCCGCAGATGTGTCCGGAAGTAGTGTAAGTCAGAACCTGACAACCGAAAGTAGGAGAATGTCTAGTGCCTTAAGGTGGTATCCCTACAGCCTACACCCTACACCCTAAACCCTGAACCCCATACCCCAAAACCCTAAAGCCTAAAACCCTAAACCCCAAAACCCTAAACCCTAAAACCTACACCCTAAAACCTCAGAAAAGGGGCCTAAATAATTACCACCAGTATTTTGGGGGCTCCTTAGTATAATCATCGTATAATGCACCCAATAAACCGCGTATTCTTAAACCATCCCCCTCTATTAAACCCTAGACCCTAAACCCTAAATGCTAAACCCTAAACCCTAAACCTAAACCCTAAACCCCAAAACCTAAACCCTAAACCCTAACCCTAAACAAGGCCATTAAACCCATTTTTCTGCAATTTGTTCGGCTTCACCTCCCCAAACCCTATTCTAAAAAAAGGACACTCTATCAAAGCAGCTTTTTTGCATCAACCTAAACCCTAAACCCTAACATTAAACAAGGCCATTAAGCCAAATTTTCTGCAATTTTATGCATCCTCACCTCCCCAAACCCTATTCTAAAAAAAGGACACTCTATCAAAGCAACTTTTTTGCAACTTTTTCGACTTCAAGGGCTTTCATGCCCAAGTAGACCCTGGGCCTTCGGCGCTTCCGTGCGAGCTCGGGGCTGAGAGTTTGGGGTTTCAGGGCTTTTCAACTTTTATGGGCTTTAGGGCTTTAGGGCTTTAGGACTTTAGGGCTTTAGGGCTTTAGGACTTTAGGACTTTAAGGCTTTAGGACTTTAGGGCTTGAGGGCTTCAGGAGTTTTGTTTGGGGGTTTTGGGCTTCAGGGGTTTAGGGGTTTAGGGCTTTCGGGCTTCAGGGGTTTAGTGGCTTTTGGGCTTTAGGGCTGTAGAGCTTTTCACGGCTTTAGGGCTTTAGGGCTTTGGGGCTTTAGGGCTTTTCTTTAGGGCTTTAGGGGCATGGAGCTTTAGGACTTTAGGACTTTAGGGCTTTAGGGTTTTAGGGTTTTAGGGGCTTCAGGGGCTTTAGGGGCTTTAGGGGCTTTAGGGGCGTTAGGGCTTGTGGAGGTTTAGGACTTTAGGGCTTTAGGGGTTTAGGGGGGTAAGGCTCCACAGGTCTAGGGGTTTAGGAGTTTAGGGTTTGGAGGTTTGGGAGGCGTGTCAGGGTTTAGGGATGTTTGGGGTTTCGGATTCAAGGGCCATGGGAAAAGACATTTTACGCCTTGCGATTCATGCGTGAACCCGCTTGCGAGGACCACTTATGATTCGCTTCTGGAGTGTCCCGTGGCTGCGTAAACCCTAAGCCTAAAACCCTGAACCGGAAAACCCGAACCCTGAACCCCAAGGTCCAAACCCTCGACGAAAGACCCTAAGTTACCAAAACCGGAGGCCCGAACCCTGAGCCCCAAGGCGTAAAGTACTATAGGAGTCGATAATTCAAGGCCTGTGGGTAGGCGTGCACAGGCCCTGTCGACAGGGTTATGGCAGGGGTGGCTAGGGCCCTTGTAGGTCTGCGGAAGGGGCCGTATAGACCCTGTGCGGACGGGGCCTGTGCAGTTGGCGCGTAGGCCCTGTCATAGGCCTGTGGAAGGGGGTCCGTAGGGCCTACCATAGGGCCTGCGCTAGCCTATGCCTCGGGGGTTCTTTATCCGATAATTAATAATTACCAATACTATCTTGGGGGTTCCTTCTTATGGTTATAGTTTAATATACCTCAAAACCCGATTCTAATTTTTCAGGCCCCTTTAGTAATCCGACACGCCCCGAAGCCAAAGCCCCATCGGCTGAGGTGGAGCACCGACCGAAGGTCCGACCCCAGAAGCCTGGCGCCGAGCACTCTCGGGGGGGTTTGTAGTTTGCAGGGTTTAGGATTTAGGGGAGAGGGTTTAGGGTAGGGTTTAGGGTGTAGCCGCAGGGCCTGGATTCACACTTTGGGGATTTTCCGGATTTTTTTTCCGGAGAGTTGGTGCAGGGTTGATGGTTTTGAGGGCTTGGTGATCAAGAAAGTTCTGGAGAGGTTGAGATGTTCAGCTCCAAAACCCTTGCCGCCCCCTAGACTCTCTAGACCCGAATCCCACCCTAAACCCCAAACCCCAAACCCCTAAACCCTAAACCCTAAACCCCGAATGGCAAACCTCGTTGTGATTCGCTTGCTTCACCCCCGGCTTCTTAAAGGACTTCTAGGTAGGGGCTTTGGGACATTTTATCCTTTCCCTCATTGGGCTTAAGAGGATCTTATTTACTAATATGTTTCAAAGGCTTTAAAAGCCCCACCTAGATTTCGATCTCTCGGCTTGGTGGGCGTTTCCTTGATCCCAAGGCATATGGGAGTTGCCGAAAATAGGGGACCCTAATCTAGTACCCTAAATAGTAGGATCCTTATTATAAGGACCCCAAAATAAGGCACCCCTGTTTTCGGAAACCCCCAGAACGGCCCAAAAGTCCGACTCTCTTCGCAAAATTCAGTTTCGGCAGACATGGATGTCAGGGTTTGGGGTTTAGGGGTTCAGGGTTTGGGGTCTAGGGGTTCAGAATTCTCGAGTTTAAGGCAGGTTTCGATGCGGTATTCGCCAGTGGCCTTAGGTTGGAGGGCTTGACGGTTTGCGGTTCAGGGTTGCGTGTCAGTTGTGTTTTTGTCTAGGGTCTGTGCTTTCTGAGTTTGAGGCCCTCCAACATTACATTTTGAAAGCTTAGGTCCAGTCCTCAACCCTAGGATCCCTCGAAGCCCTTAAGCCCCAAACCTAAACCCTAATATAGGGGCCTTAATAATTACGTATGCTTTTTTTGGGGAGTCCTCAGTATATTTATAGTATACTGGGCCCCAAAGCCCCATTCTAATTTATAAGGCCCCTATAAGCCCTAAACAAAAAAACCTTCAACCCTAAACCCTAAGCCCTGAAGCCCTGAAGCCCTAAACCCTAAGCCCTAAGCCCTAAACAAAAAAACTCTAAGCCCTGAAGCCCTGAAGCCTTAAGCCCTAAACCCTCAGCCCTAAGCCCTAAGCCCTAGCCCTAAACAAAAAAACCCTAAGCCCTGAAGCCCTGAAGCCCTGAACCCTAAACCCCCTAAGCTACGAGGCAACGAAGCCATGGCCCGGCGAATGCTGGTCCTCATGGCGCCCCTAACGTGGGCGCTGAAGTCCATGGCCCCAGAGGGGATTGGGGTTTGGGGTTTAGGGTTTAGGGTGTTTACGTAGGGCTTTAGGGTTTTGGGGTTTAGGGTTGAGGGCTTAAGTCGGGTATACCCGAGAGTTCATGACGAGTTCTAGGCAGGCTTGCCCTTGTGATCTCAGTTAACTCCCTTGTAGTCCCAGTTCCAGCAAGCAGGGTCTGGGAGTCTCGGGTTCGGTAGCTCTTCTAGATGGGTGGTTGTCAAAATTATGGTCCCTTGTTGGATCCTTATCATAATACGGCACCTAATACTTAGGGTACCCAAAAAGGGGCCATCATTTTGACAACTACCTAGATAGAGCCCCAAATGCCAGACTCTAAGCCCTAAACCCTCAAGCATAGCAAGAGATGCTATCAAGAAGAGTTGGACCCGAAATGCAGGACTGAGGAAGTTCTCCGGCCTAAACCCACCGGCATCGTTCACTCCTCTGGGCCTTGCAAAGAGTTTGAAGGGTGCTTTTGGGCGAGTTGAAGTCTTCTGTAATTTGAGACTGTATCGTCCTGTTGCCTTGGAGCATGTGTCGGAGGATAGGGTGGGGATGTAGTGATCCGTCTTCATGACCGAACCTCAACCTTGCAATCTATGGCCCTGAGCCGAAAATCCTTGTAGCCTGCAAGCCCTAACTTCATCGGTGGTGGTGCTCTAGACCCTACGCCTAAAGTTCATGATGCTTGTAGCTACCCTCGTCCTCAGGGGTAGGTTTACAGGGTTCTGAGGCTAAAAGCCCAGTGTACCATCGTATACAGTAGTAGAATACATTCAACAGGTCACCACTGTCTTATACCGTAAGGCTGCATCGGCTCTTTTTTGTTGGAGCGTGTTGAATGTGGAGCCAGCTCCAAAAAACCCAGGGCATCTAATACAGAAGCCGGGATAGGTACCAAGATTAGTTGGTTCCTTGTTTTAGCTAAACTATACAGGAGCCCAAAGCATTCTCAAGGCCACTTCATGAACCTCACCCTTTTGTGATGGTCTGCGCATCAAGGTTGGTGGATCACAGAATGCTCTTCCGAATACTTTAGGGGTAAGTGCCTCCAGTGCAGCTTGTGCTTCTCCTGACGAGCGGCATGCAGAGGTGGAATGAAAGGCTCAGCAGCACCCTAAGCAGCAAATCCTGAAATCTCCAAACCCTGAAGCCGTCAACCCATAAACCGAAGCTCTTAACCACCCATACCCTAAACCCTAAACCCTACACCCTTAACCCTAAAGCCTAAACCCTTGACCCTAAACCCTAAACCGTAAACCCTTAACCCTAAAACCTCAACCCTATAAACCCTAAGTTCTTCTCCGAGGATGAGAGAAGACAAGCTCTGCTCCGACTGGACCTGCGGCGCTTCCCTTAGCCGAGCCCTACTTTTGAAAAGCTTGGGATTGGGTAGAACCCTTCAAAGGAACCCTTAAAGGATTAAGGCCCCTATATTATAGTAATTACCTTGATGCAGTTCCCTTAACAAGTAACCCATATATACGTTTCGGGCTTTGGTGTTGAGTGTTTAAGTCTTGGAGATGGGAGTACGGTTGATGATAAAACCTGCAGTGCCCATAATAAGGAATATATCATAATTCCCATAGTTTAGGGTCCTTAAGGTAATGCATGATTTATATCATCAACCGTATGGGTTGTCTGAGACTCGGCTGGTTAGGTGATTCAGCGAGAAAAACAACATGAACTTGTGCATCTCTGCCTTTCCCTCCGACCGTCGGTTTATCCGTCCGTCTCGTTGTCTGTCTGTCCGTACTGTATGTCTGTCTGTCTGGCTGGCTGGCCAAAGACAAACTCTCACTCCAAAGGTTGCAACCCAAGAGCCCTACTTGGAGGTTCATGAGTAGTTATAAGTGGAGTCATAAGTCCCCTAATCTGGGTTATAAATGTAGTTGCCCTACTTATAACTCTACATTTACCTACCCATGAACCTCTAAGTCGAGTCTCTCCTGCATCGGGGATCCCTGGTAGGCCTGCGCGCGAGAATTATGACGAGTAATCTGGAGTCGACATCCGATTCACGACTCCCAACCTTGAAGGCTAAATACTATTCTAAGGCCTGTACTCTGTATCCGAAGTCGCACAGACCCGAATCCAAAAATCCTGAGCCCTAGTTCCTACATCCTGGAGGCCTTTGATCCCGAATCCCTGTCGCAGGCACAGGGTTCGTCGCCAAAATTGGTCATCACGAGCTGGGGGGAGGCAGCGACGCCGAGTGCTGCGACAAGCCTGGGGCCTCAGAAGGGCTTGGGGTTTTAGGTGCTGAACTCAGTATAAACTAGCAATATATGATATAATATGCTGTACCATAATCATATCACATTATGTTATATTTGCAGTATACTATACTGTACTTTACTATACTTTAACCCCTGAGCCCTTAAACTCAAGGGTCCGGCTGTTGCGGTGTCTTTCATGGTCCGTGTTGCTCTGGGGCTTGGCCACTTTGGTGATGGGCTATCTGCGTTGAAGGGAGGCCCTACCGGGAGGCGACAAATTAAGAGATGTTTTGGGGTACTCTATAAACCCTAAACCCTCAAAAACACTTCAAACCTCGAACCCTAAACCTTAACCCCTAAACCCTAAACCCCCCTCCCCGAAGCCTTAAACTGTCTCTCATAACCCGGAAAGGAGCCCTAAACCCTGAGGGTTTTCCGAGCTCCCACCGGAGGACCTGCGCCCTCTGGAAATGCGGCGAAGGCTATGCGCCCAACGAGGCCCAAAGACTGTCTGCGAGGAACTGCCGATGGACCAACTCTTGCACCTGAAGTATCCCAAACCTATGTGAGATACTGTTGATGGACAAAATCCTGCATGACCTTAAGAACCCTAAACTATGGGAATTATGGTATATTCCCTATACTGGGTCATGCAGGATATTGTCCATCCACAGTATGGGATATCTTCCACTACGGTTTTGTCCACAGCAGAGAGTGAGAGAGACGGCCGAGAGGGTGTGGGGTGTAGGGTTAGGGAGTCTGGCTTCGCAGTTGAGGGTTCAGCGATTCGGAATTGGGTGCAGGAGTAGCTTCTCTTGGTTCGGTCTGAACCTCGCGAAAGCCGCCCCTCTCACATTTGTCCGAAGCCGTCATGCGCGTCTTGCGCAGTCAGTTCTGCAATCGGGTACTGACGAGGGTTCGGGCCTTCGTTTTGATTGCAGAGCCCAAGATGGTTCCCTCTCTTGAGGTCCGAAGTCCGATGTCACCTACCGAATCTGCTGTAAACCCGGGAGCCCGCCGGCCCCGTTCCTTTGCCGCAGGCGTACAGCAGCAATGTTGCGCAGACTGACCAGCAGTGCTGCGACGAAGTGTGCTCAACAAAGGTGGTTCCTTGGCTTTTTAGGGGTTCAGCGTCAGGATTCATGTCATGGCTGGAAACAGCTAACCACTGCATTGGTGTCTGGCTCCATGTTTCCTACACTCGCTGTGAACTGTCACAGCTTACCACCCAAAGCATTACCCGGGGTGGTGGATTTCCCAACAACATCCCTGTTGATTTCAAGCTTGTTCGGGCTGGCAAAGATCCGAGACGACAGATCCGTTGCCCCTTGCAGCCCGGGCCCTGCTTGCCATGTCTCGCTATTGAACTCAACGCTCCAAGCCCCAGTTCCCGCAACCCCGAAGTTGACATCATTAAGTCCTGAACCTTTACACTCCAAATCTCAAACCGCAAAGCCATCAAACCCGTCTTTCTTTGACCAGGGGCCCGAAATATGTCAAACCCCAGCAGGCTTGTGGACGAGGGTTTGGGTACTGAAAGTTATGTGGGCGGTTATCGTTGCGAAAAGGGTTCCCGTGGTTGCTTTCTATCGCTGCTTTATTGCGTTGCTTAGAGCTCTACTTACTAAACACCTGGGAGCCTTCAGGTGAACTCTACAATACTCAGGACAACCCTACAAAGGACCGCACAGATCGTAAACCTCAGACCCCGAACACCCTCGAACCGTGCACCCTAAACCCCAAACTCCAAACCCTAAAAATCCGTAGAGCCTTGCAACATCTTGCAAAACCCCAAACCCACAAACGCTACATTTCTCGGAATCCGTGGAGGATCTTCAGAGCTTTACGGGAATCCTCTTAAAACTTTCAAAGGAACCCTTAAGCGACCTCCTCTAACACCGAACACTGAACCTTACGACCCTGCAGAGTCTTTGAAGGAACTTTCAAAGGAACCCACAAAGGAGCACTTAAAGTGACCCTCAAAGTAAGCCGCAAAGTAACCCTTAAAGGAATCCTGAAAGGAACCCGAAAACCGACCTTCGAAGCTTCGGTTTTTCTTTTTGCAGCCCGAGGAGTGTGCAGATGGCTGGCTCGGCTCCCAGCAGAGCTTTCAGGAAGTCGCCACGGTAATTGGAGGTTCATGGGTAGTTATGAGTGGAGTTATATTTCCCCCAATATGGGTTGTATTTAGAATTACCCTACTTATAACTTCTCTTATAACTACCCATTAACCTCCAAGTAGCAGCAGTGTCAGGCCTTCACTTGCTTCAAGAAGCACCTTCTAGCCATCCCATGCCGCCACGACGCAAGCTCCGTTGCTCCTTTCAGGGCCCTGAACCCAAAGAAGCTGGGGAAGAACGGCAACACCCCAGAGGCCCCACTCCGCGCTTTCTTTTGAGCAGTTTGCTTGCATGGGCGTATCGCGTACATGCGTTGATGGGCGTCATGTGTTGCAGTTTCATTGCTTTAAACGCTACTTACCTTTGGTTAGTAGGGAATGGAAGAATGGTAGTAATAGTAGTTATAATTCTACCCCATTCCTCCATTCCCTACTAACCAACGGTAAGGCTTTGGAGGTGCCATGGTTGGGGATTCCGACTTCAGATCTGCAAGCGACCGGACTGTCAGCCTGCGTCGTGTATGACCGACTCAAAGACCCTAATTGGTTCTAGTATAGTGTGCCCCAAACCCTATTCTGATGATTACTATTATTATTAATATTATTATTCTTATTCTTATTCTTATTCTTATTATTATTATTATTATTATTATCATTATTAATATTAAGGCCCCTATATTATAATATGACTGACTCAAACACTGGCTGGTTTGTTGCCTTCGCTCTTGAACTTACCTTTGGTTAGTAGGGAATGGAAGAGTGGTAGCAATAGTCGTTATAATGGTACCCCTTTCCTCCATTCCCTACTAACCAACGGTAAGTGAACGGTGGTGGCAGGCAGCCTCCAAGTCTTCGTTGCGACTGTGCACGGTCCAGCGCAAACCCTAAACCCCGAAACCCGCAGTACCAGAGCAATTAGTACTTCGGTTGATGATATAAATCCTGCACCCATAATACAGAATATACCATAATTCCCATAGTCTAGGGGCCTTAAGGTAAGAGCAATTAGTACTTGTATCCCCACTTGGAGGTTCATGGGTAGTTAAAAGTGGCGTTACAAGTAGGGTAACTACAGTTATGACCCATATGAGGGGACTTATAGCTCCACTTATCACTACCCATGAACCTCCAAGAAGACCCTGTTCTAACTCGCAAGGCCCTTCTATTGCGCTGTTGGAAGCAAGAAGAACCGAGCACGAGAGGCACCGTATTATATATCGCAGCAAAATCATACACCAAGAACCCGAAGTCCCAAATTTATCACCTCTACTAGACCCTAATATCCGAAGCCTCATGCACCCTGAACCTTTAGGTTTGAAGCCTGTCTTGGTCCTGAATTAGTGGGATTTTGGTCTGGGTTCCGGTGATCTGTGAAGCTTCCTAGTCGGCAAGGATTGCTGCGTGCCTTCCTGCTCTCGTTACACTTGCAGCGCCCCCATGTCATGCGGGGCTTCGAGGTTCCGGGCATAAAGATAGGAGATTGAAATAAGTGTCAATAGTATCCACCTGATCAATACTCAAAGTACACCCTGCCTGCATAATCAATATGATCTGTCCCAAAGCCCTATAATGATTAAGGCCCTATATCATTGTGTCGGCCTAGGCGGTCCTGGTAGTTTCATTCAATTAGGTGCAAGTTGCGTCGTAGAGGACTCTCGCGCCACGAAACGGGAAACAGGGTTCGGGCTGTTGGGATGACCCTGACATCCCTAGCAATTGTTTTTTTCTCATTTTTGTTCACAAAAATTCAAGAGAATAATTCAGGAGAATATTACAAAAATGATTTTCATTGTCGTTCTAAGGGGGTATAGATGACAGGCTTTCGTTTCAGGGGCTCGGGCTTTGGAACTCGCCCCTTCGCCCCTTTGGCATGGCGGTCCGGTCTGTCTTCGGTTTAGGGTTTAGGGTTCCGGGTTCAGGTGTTTAGGGGTTTAGGGCTTAGGGTCTCTCGTCGTGACTTCAGAGACATCCCCTGGCATGATTTCTCTTTGCTTGCATTGGGGAGGCGGGTGCGATAGCTTTCGGCAAAGATTGTGTTCAGGTTTGAAGGTGTATCCGGGGTTAGGGCTACGGTGTTGAGGATGCTGGGTTTGCGAGGTTGAGGTTTTCGGGCTTGGGATGGCCGATGGCCCTGATTGACCGCTACCTACCTCTGCCCACCCCCTAAACCCTAAACCCCCAACCCTAAACCCTCGGCCCTGAACCCTAAACCCCCAACCCTAAATCCTAAACCCTATATAAACCCTACCTAAATCATATTAGGGAACCCTGAAAAGGCAGGTTCCTCAGGGTCCAGGTAAGCCCCAAACCCCTGCCCCGACCCTCTTTGCCTCGAGACACTTGAGGCCCCGTGTCTTACCAGCTAAAGGAGAAGGCGGGGGAGATCATTGCCAACGCGGCTCGGCTTGGAAGTCAATTTTGGGGGGGCTCCAGGGATTTCGGGGATTTAGTTTGTTGAGGTTTGTCCAGGGCTTCAGTGCCTTCGTTCAGGTTTAAGATTTGGGGTGGCGGGGTTTGGTATTTAGGGCTTCATGTTGCAGACTTTCTGGTGTTGAGTTGTGACATGTTCTTTTTCCAACTGTAACGTTTGTAAGGGGCTTTCAAAATTAAAAGGTTGGGAGCTGATTTTAAACCATCCCACATGTCCCACGGCCCAGGCACCTGAACCTTAAACCCGAAACCCCTTACGCCGCTTTATCTAGAGGTCGGAATAATTAGTATTAGCATGATTTTTCAGCCCGGACATGCTTCAAGTATCAGATACCGAAGGCCCGTGTATTCAGCTTAAACCCAAATCCCTAAACCCAAATAGGGGGGCTTAAATAAGTGGTTGCCAATACTCTCTTGGGGGCCCTTTATTGTAAACATAGTACAAACGGCTCCCAAGACAGTGTTGGGCTCTTTAGTGTAAACATAGTACAGGGGCCCCAAAACCCTATTCTAATTATGAAGGCCCCTACAGTAAAGCTTCAACGTTTCAGGACACTGAGCACTGCTGCGATGCGCTCTGCAGCGCCTATGAGCGCCTTGGAAGCAAAGCTTGGTAAGGGTCCCTTCAAAGGGATCTATATGGGTACCTTTAAGGGGTTCCTTTAAGGAATCTATAGTGTTTAGGGATTAGGGATATAAATCCTGCATTACCACAATGATGAATATACCCTAATACCCATAGTCTAGGGTCATTAAGGTAATGCAGGATTTGTATCATCAACCGTAGTTCAGGGTCAAAGGTTCAGGGTTCAGGGTTTCGAGTGTAGGGTTTCCGGGGAGAGGGTTTATTGTACGCTTTTGATGTTGAAGGCTCAGTGTGTCAAGATTCAGATGGGCTCTAGGGCACACAGGGGCTGCTTGTTGTGCACAAGATTTTCCGGGTCCTCCAGGCGCCACGGATTCGGCGTTGCGTTCGTGCGTTAGAGAGGCTGTAGAGATCAGGCCTATCCTTGCTCCACTCTCCGCCCTACCTCGGGACTTTCATATAGAGCTCCGGTTTCATCGTGCTAAGGCAACCTCCAATTTAGGATGTGCCGGACCCTTTGATCTCTTATCCCGAAAGCAGGCTACCTGCTTTCCTAGGCCGGAATGCCAGTACCTGAAGGCATATACTTACATTACCCCCCTGAGCTTTAAAGCGCCTAGCCCTAAACCGTAAACCTTGCCCTAAACCCTCAACCCCAATCTCCAGGCCCACGGTAGTAGACCTGGACTCGGACGTTCCACCCTAAACTGCTTGAGCTTGTTTGCCAAGTAGGGTGGCCTTCAAGATAGAACACACCCTAAAGCATAAACCTTAAGCTCTAAACCTTAAGCCCTAAACCCTAAACCTAAACCCTAAACCTTAAATCCTGAACCCTAGCCGGAGGTGCCCGAAGGGCTACAAGGCCGACCCCTCGCGGGGGAATGTCACCGGGAGCAGCCCGGAGGAATGCTGCATGCAGGCTCGGCGGCTTCCTCCTATTCGAGGTTGTGGGTTTTTGGGGTTTGGGATTAGGGATTGGTGTTTGGGGTTTGGGTTTAGGGGTTTTGCGTTTTGGGGGTTTGGGGTTTTGGGGTTTAGGGGTTTAGGGATTTGGGGGTTTAGGGGTTTAGGGGTTTTGCGGTTTGGGGTTTAAGGTTTGTTTTGTGGGTTGGGGTGTGGGGGCCAGGGTGAAAGTTTCAGTTTCTTTTCGCGCTGCAGGCGTGGTCCGGGGTTGCTAGCGCAGAACCGCATGTGACATTGACCCCGGGACTTGCCTGCGGGAGTATTGCCCAACCCTGCAGCTTTAAGCCCCAAACCCCAAACCCTAAACCAAAGCCCTAGCCTTGAATCACCGGTATGAACAAGCCCTAAACTGGTACACCGAAGCCGGCAGGAATGCGCCCTGTTCGATCACCTTTGCCGCTTGGCTGTGAAGTGCACCGGGGCTTCCTTCAAGGGACGTTTAAATCCTAAACCCTAAAACTTAAACGGTAAACCGTAACCCTAAACCCTAAATCCTGTGGTTCTGTTCAGGAGCTGGTTTAGCTAGCGCATGAGACTCGTCTCGGAAGACTGAAACAAAAGCGGTTCAGGCTCTGGGGTGTTGAACCAGATCGGCGCACCCCGCCTAAAGATGCACTGATTTTGAAGACGGCTGAGCGTGTTTCCTTTTAGAGTTTGCAGCACATGTCCTCCACGACCCGAATCGTGGCAGACAAAGGCGCGAAGCCGCAACGCCAACTTCTGTGCATTGCAACTCCCAAAACCCGTATCCCTCAACTCTGCAGACTACAGTTCTGAAGCGGTAAAGCATCAAATCCCAGGTATGCAGAATGTAGCTATTCTGATGTTAAGGCCCTAGAAGCCCCGAGATGGCCTAAAACCTGAAAGCTCGAAACCCTAAAATCCCAAAACCTTGAATCACTCCCAAAATCCTCAAGAATAACATTAACTTCCTATAACCTGAAAACAGTCTCTCAAATCTTCAAGGTTACCATAGCAAGCCCTGGCAGCCGGAAACAGCCTGAAACGCTCAGTACATCCCAGGTCCTGCGGACCACGGGGTGCCTCCAGAGAAGCGGTGTGAACTTGGCAGGACCCCCTCCGAGTTCCTATAAGAGATATGGGAAGACCTCTAAATAAGGGTCCCTTTTAGGGTCCGACCCCCTCCGAAGAAGTACTATACAGTAAGTGATGTGGAAAGTTCGCTAAATTAGGGTTTCGTTTTTAGGATCCTACTATTTTGGGGACCTAGAAAAGGACCCTGATTCAAAGAACTGCCGGTTGATTGCTACCAGGGTCGCTCCAAGGGTTATTATCAGGGTGATTATAGGGTCACTACAAGGCTTACTATAATAACGCTGTCCTGGCTGGAATTGCGAGGCGGTTGTGGAGCAAGCAGCTCTGACACTTGCTTGCATCCTTGGCGCCTGCACCGTCGGCTTTCGAGGTGCCGGCATCGCCGCTTTGCCTACACTGGCCCCGGGTGACCACGGCGCCGTGGATCCCAAGGTGTTCCGTGCTTGCGCATTCATTCATCTTTTGGACGAGACTCTTTGGGGCACTTCGGCGGCGAAAGAGGCTGCGCCAGCTGGAGGCCGTTGTGATGGGCCTGATGCACGACACCCTGCTCGGGCCGGACCCAGGCACACATGAATGAGCAAGGGCATGCACAACAGTTCCTCGCGAGCCGACTAGTGGTTCGCGAACGTGGCCTGCAAGCTCGCGGACATAGGCCTCGGCAGGCTTGCATCCCGGACGACCGAGGCCGTGCGCACAGAGCAGGAGTCGTGACACTCACTACGATATCGAGAAGCCAAGCGCAGCCTCCACTGGCGAGCCTCCCGAAGAGGAGGCAGAAACTGAGGCAATAAACTCTGTGGTCAGAACGTTGTCTCGTCACAATCTCCTTTGACAACGCAGCGCCGGTGAACACTGTGGCCGAGCAGGCCTGAAGACTTCGAGCCAGCACCGTCACAACTTGCAACACAGGCAGCTGCACCTGCTCCGCCAGCGCACCAAGCGGACCCAGCGGCCGTACACACCTCCGAAGTCAGAGGTCAAGAAGCGAGGAACTTGGGCACATCGCCGACATAAACACCTGACAGGCAGTTGCGCCCGCGACACCGGCCGCACCCGCAGCTCCAGCCGAACCAGCCCAGGCAGCGTTTGTGTCGGCACAGTGTTCAGCGAACTAGGCCATCTTGTGCGGCAATTTCTTGAGGCCCCTGCACACGCGGTCGTGGCGAGCCTAGTCCCAGCTTCAACGAGGCGAGTGGAGAGTCTGACGAAGCTCTCTTGGCCTCCGACGGCATCAAGGCAGCTTCGGCAACAGGGTGGCCTGGTAAGCATTGGGCGACCACGATGGAGCAGAACTCGTGCGGCGACTGCCATGTGCACCTCATGGTTCAATTCGCTGGCGCAATGAACTGTGGTTCCTGTCGCTTCATGTTCGAGGGTGTGCGGCCCAACGTCAGCCCGAACGACTACCTCGGTGAGGGAGTCTGTCGCAAGAAGATGCAGCAGTCGATAGACCGCGGCATTTTTTATGTGTGCGCAGACAAAGTTGGCACACTACACCTGGCTTCCGGTGCTGCTTGTGTTGCAGGCAACTACGATCTCAACCCAGTCGAGAAGTTCTGGGCATGGTTGCGCAAGCACATCCACCATCTCGATCGGGAAGACCTCCGACAGAAGCGTCCGCCCATCGGCATGCTCGCTTTCAAAGCGCGCGTCCGAGCGATTCTGTCCTCGACGTGCCCAGAGTGTCGCTGCCGGCTTCAAGAAGACATGCAAGGAGGTCATTGCCAAAAAGGGCGGGATGGCAAGATCCTAGCATGTGTCTCAGGAGACGTGCAACCGGACTGGACTTTGGCCGGCAAAATGGAAGCTGGGCCGGGCCGATAGTTCGACCCACTAGCTTCAACATGCTACAACACATGGGCCTCCACCCTTTTCCCCATAGACTCCGAACACAAGTGAGCCTTGGGGCCTCCGCCGGAACTAAAAAGTATTATATTTTTAAAACGGCGTAGTAGTTACTCCGCTGGCCTGCGTAGGGTAAACGGCACTTGGAGGTATTCCGCTACTCCGCAAGAGCTTGTATGTAAGATGATGCACATGTGGGTCGAAACTTCCGGCCCGGCGCTGTAGGGCGCCGGGTGTGGGTTTTTAAAGCACAGGTTCACAACTGCTAAACTAGACCCTTAACCCTGAACCCTACGCCCACTGTCTAGTGAGTCTAGTGGAGCTCTTGACTGGATCAGCCAAACAGGCTGAACTTGAGAACAGTTCTCAGCACCTGCAGCTCCATGTCTGGAAGCTAAAACTTTATGACGCCAGCAAGACTTAATCTTGAAGCATTTATTCCCTAGTTTAGGTGAAAACAACATTCGTATCAATTTTTGTATATATTTCGACATGCAAAGGCCTTTTGCAGCATGCATATGTTGCGATGCGATCGACCACTCACACAGACGCACGTGCATGAACATGCAGTTGTGGGCCAAAAGCTGTGAACACAGGGCTTTCTTCACAACCTGGATCCATACCCCAGTACTGGTACATCTTTCGATGCATTGGCGCATGCCCCAACTGCCCCGATGTATTCCTGCCCTTCTCTAAAAAACCTGTAGTAACCCTTATGGTAGCATTTGTGGGCACCTTTATGCAGGCCCTTTAGCCCTGCTAGCAGTCCTTGCAGCCTTTCAAGAGGAGCACTGTGGAATGTTGCAAGCCAAAGTGCAGCCGCTTGGCAGATCCGTTTGTGTTTTCAAAGTTGTAAACATCCTAATGTACCCCATGAACCCTTCAACTGAAAATCACCAAAGCATTGAAGCCGCAGAAATAGTTTTAACCTAAAAGCCTCAACCTTTCAGCTCGAAGCTCTATAGGATCCGGCCTCCGGACTTGTCACCGGAGGGTTGAGTTCAAAACTTTGTAAACGTTGAGCCCATCTTATTGCCATAAGCCGAAACTCGAAGCCGCGTACCTCACAAGCCCAAACTCTGAAGCCTCAAAGGGTTGTTTGAGTTTTGCGTACGTAGCCGCCCGGGTGTCTGGGGCTTGATTGCAAGGGAAACGTAATTTTACATGCTGGGATTCAGTTGGGAGGGTTTTTTCTTACGTCAAGGCATGTGATGCCTTGCTCAGACTCGTCCGTCATGCTTCTTGTCAAAGATGGCTGCCTTGATGTGCTGCAGGTGAAGGTAGGCCTCGGCGGGCTCAGAACTTCGACCCGGCGATGATTGCTCATGGCAAGTTCTGAACCCGAAACAGGAAGTTCAAGGACATATCATGTGGACTGCAGTGCCGGAGCACAAACCGTGCAAAGACCGTCGAGCTAGAAACTCAAAGGGAGCCGCATCTCGGAAATGAGTCGTGTCTGGATCATTTGTGATTCGATCTTGTGCCGGTGCCACTGTTTTTCACAGCCGTTCTCGGCCATTGTCAGTACTTGCTCATTTGCGATTTGTGAACTTCTCAGCCTTTTGAAGTGATGCTGTCTGTGCTGCCAGAAGATTTTTTTGCAGGAGTTGCAATGTCTGTTTAGGACTCTCAGTCTTCAATTAAAACAGAATATAGCACAACATAACATAATATGATGCCATATAATATGATATGGCATGATAAAGCTTAACGAAAGAACTGCTTCAACATAAGAAAATATGACATATGACAGCATAAGATGATAAAGCATAAAAGCATAGGATGCAACATAATACCATATGATTTGTCATAACATACTCTGTATAGGCTTTCGTCACAAGGCGCTGTTGTCTCGTCGATTTAGGCCAGTCGGGCCGAGAGTCAGCATCATGGATGCCTTGGGGCTGAAGCTTGAACCTCTAAACCCTAAACCCTAAGCTGTCAAGAAAACCCTGAGCCCTGAAGCCCTAAACCCCGAAACCCTAAACCCCAAACGCCTTTTGCCCAGGGGCTTAACCATCAAGACGCCCCCTCATCCGAGAACTCTTCAATTGCAGCGCCGGCTGGGCGCACAACCACTCCAATGATGGCGAGTACGGTCACACCGACGAGGACCACGTCAACCCCTATCCCCACCTAAACTCGAAACCCTAAACCCTGAACCCTTGAACACTTGAACCCTTAAACTCTGCAATCCTTAAACCGTTAACCTAAACCCCTTAAGCCGGGTTAGGGCAGAGCTTTAACTTTGGGGTTTTGCGGGGTTGGGGCCCCAGCACAAAGCCCCCTACAAACTGCTGCAGCGTACTTTGGACCATACATGTCAGAGTCTCATACTCGCAAACACAGGCCCAAACTTGTGTGCTCAAACTCACACAGCAATCTGATGTAGATATCCTGGCAAACGATTGTTTTAGAAGCAGTATCTCATGAAGTAAACGAATCCTAAACCCTAGCCCTTAATCCTAAGCCCTTTTCTCCTAACCCGAAGATCCCAAGCCCTAAACTCTAGTCCCAAACCCCTAAAGCTTAAACCCCAAACAGCAAATCCCCGCACCCCAAAATTCAAGCTCTGACCCTAAGCCCTAAACCCTAAACTTTAATCCCTAAACCCTAAACCCCGAAACCCCTAACCCCTAAACCCCTAACCCCTAAACCCCAAACCTTAATCCCTGAACCCTAAATTGTGGCCTGAAAGCAACGAAGCGCTTCAGAGGAATGCTGTACGCCTACCTGCGCAGTCTTCGAGTGCCCAGCAGCCAGCGGCCTAGTTCTGCTCCCGTGCAATGCAAGGTTTTAGGGTCTAGGGGTTTAGGGTTCAGGGGTGAAGGGTTTAGGGGTTTAGGGGTTTCGATTTTTGACGGAGTCGGTTTTGATTCCTTGCAACTAAGATGTTGTTCGTGCCTTTTTGGTGACGGGTTTGCTGTGACTTGTTTGTCTGAATTTGCTTTGGCATCTGCCGACGAAAATCAGAAGATGAAGTAGGATGAACCCTAAACCCATAATCCCTAAACCCCAAACCCTATATAAATCCTAAACCCCTAAGCCCAGCCCCTAGAAGGTGAAGAAGGATGCAGACCTGAGCCCAGCTTGAGCAGATCCGAAACCCTCAGACCTCAACCCGAAACTGCCCCAATCCTAGGCCCCTACACTCTAAGCCCGAAATCCGAAATCCGAAACCCCAAGCCCTAAACCACCCCAATCCTAAACCCCTAAACTCTAAAGCTCTGCATCCTCAACTGTCCCCATGTCTCGGACGCCACGAGGCGGAGGGGTGGATGAAGGCTGACATGAAGAAGGGAAAGGCAGGCATCGCTGTGTCTTCGGCCTCGCCACGCCATGAAGAGCATCCGTATAGGGACGCATGGCCGTTAGGGTCTAGGGTTTACTATACTGTAGAGGCCTTAGGCCCCTAATTTATGGTATAATGGGCCCTAAAACCCTATTCGAATTATTAAGGCCCCTATAGTAGAGTGGTTCTGTCAGGTGTTTAGGCGGAGTTCTGGGGCTTGATACTTCAGGGCCAAGGTAGGAACCTGATTAAGAAATCCTGGTCCTATTCCCCCCGAAACTTGCGGACCCATACACGGAACAATCAAAAACTCACGGTGTCTTGATCCGGTTCCTCTATTTACTTCTGCAAAGGTGAACTCGAGCCTGAAACCGCGAATCCCAACAAGGTTAGCCACTACTATTCCTTCAAGTCCCTTCTTAACAAGTTAGCAAAATACAGGGGCCTCAACACCTTTAGTAGTAGCAAACTATACCCCCAAAACCCTGTTCGAATTACTGCCGCCTTTATAGGGTTTGGGGGATACATTATACTTTAACTATAAATAAGGAGCCCTCAAAGCCCTATCCGAGTTACTGTCGCCCCAAAAGCAGCGGCCGCAAACTACGGTTGATAATATAAATCCTGCACTACCCATGGCAAGGTCTAGGGTCATTAAGGTAATGCAGTTGCTATATCCTCAGCCTAAACCCTGAAACCCGATAGAGCCCTTAAAAGGTACCCTTGTAGATCCCGTTAGAGGAACCCCATCATCAACCGTCGTGGAAAGAGGTCGGCAAAGATCCTGAGACCTGCTGCGCTCCGGCCTGCAGCAGGCCTTGGCGAGACTTCAGGGCTCAGCCCTAAGAAAAGGGTTCGGGTTCCTTTAATTTGAAGGGGTCTAGAAGGGATCTATAAGAGGGTTCTATAGTGTCGCGGCCTTAATAAATAGAGTTGAGTTTGGGGGGTATACTTAAACCATAATTAATTACTGCCTCCAAAACGATATTCTATTTATTAAACCCCTTACATTACACCCAAAGCTCTTTGAACGAATTTCCCACCACAAAGCTTGTGACCCGAACGAACCTCGGAAAGAGTTCGGAATCCAGGGCTTGAGGCCTCAGGATAGGTTCAGGTTCTAGGGTTTTTGATTCTACTCTTAAGGTTATGGTTTCGGGTTGAGTCGTTCAGAGCCTTGAGCTTTAGGACCCACTAAACCCTAAACCCCTACACCCTAAACCCTAAACCCTAAGCAACTTCGCCTAAATGCTGGTCTCCGGCCAGGTATAACTGCAGCGCTGGCTGGGTGTCAAGCCCCGAGGAGGTGGCGTGGGAATCGAGTCTTGCAGGGTTTGCAACTGCTGAGCTTCTAAGGTTCGAACAGACCCTAAACCCGAAACCCCTAAACCCCTGAACCCTAAACCCTAAATCCTCTGGAAATCGGGGCTGAAGATGCTCTTGTTGCATGTAAGATCTTTGATTCAGTTGTTCCACGAGTGTCAGGAATCCGCAAGCATCCAATCCAATTCTGAACCGAAAACTCCAAACCCGGAGAACCGAAAGCCTTTGCACGGAAGGGAGGTCTCAAGCGCTGTAACTTCTAGGACTTTCAAGAAGCCTTCGCCCTTTTGCCAACTCGTGATTTCGAAGGCTTGTCAACGGCTCCTTCAAGTGACGGGGTCGAGGGTCCAACTCTGTTTTGCTCCCCGCCCTCAGGCCCCCAAGCCTAGGATACCCGGAGAATCCCGACTGCTTCGGTTTCTTTTGGCAGGCAAAGAACAGCAACAAGACGGGCAGCGATGAGGCAATGCCATTTCGGCGCATGCATGCTCTTGGGGCTTCTTTTTCTCATCCCCATTGAGTCGGAAGAGGCAGTGGTGGCTTTGGTAGTTGTGGTAGCAGTGGTAGTTGCGGCGGTGGCAGTGGCAGTTGCAGTTGCAGTTGTCCTTGTGGTGGCAGTGGTAGTTGTTGTTTCGGTGGCAGTGGTCGTGATCATGGTAGAGCATTGCAGCGACTTGGGGGGGGGGAGGGGGGGGGCCTTCGCACCCCAAAGCTCCGCATCTGTGCATCAGGCCTGCTGTCTCGAGACCTGCGAGCTCCACAACTGCCCCTCTCCTCTCGTGCGCACCTGAGACCAAGACCAAGATCCTCTGCTGTCCGGGGTTTCAGGTCCCAGGTGTCGGGGATGAATGCTGCCTCTGGTTTTTGTATCTTTTGTCGAGGTTATCGATTCATACACTTTTTTGGGGGGCCTATGAACTCAGCAACTAAGAACCCTAAACCCCAATACTTTCGGGATTCGGAGCACAGCTTCGAGATATATCCCGGCATGTACAAAGCATTGAACCGGCAGGGGGCGGAGTTCGGGGTGTGGTTCAAGGTTACGAGGCCTAGAGTGAAGCTTGCTTGCAGAGAGGCATGGGGCGAAAGCCTTACATCCTGAGCCCTGAACCCTCAATCCTTAGACCGCAAACCCAAGCCCTGATATGTTCGGTGCGGAGAGTTTTCTGGGACATTGTGTTCGGGGTGTCCTGTTGAGGATCCCTTCATATCCTTGCCAGACCCCCAAAATCGAAACCTTAAATTCCACCGACAAAATCCTTAGTCCCACTTCCCACACCAAACCAGCCCTGCCCCAGCCCCCCAAACAAGACAGCTCTGAAAGCAAACCTCAACCCTAACCCGTGACCCCTACACCCACCAAAGCAGAAAGCCCCGAGGTGGCGAAGCTCAACATGAGCTCGGAGGTCGGCAACACCGACGAGGCGTCCCGAGGAATTTAGGGGTTTGGGAGGTTAAGAGCGTGTGAAGGCCCCTATCACTAGATTTTCCAACTCTTTATTAACAGTAAAGCAGCACTGAGGCTGGCACTGTTTAGAGTCGAAGCTCCCTTTGCTGTGAAAAACCCGCAGGCTGCCTGTCACAATGCTCAAAAAACGGAACCACAGCGACATCAATTTTTCCTTGTATCAGGTGTGCCGAACCCTACTACACCTTAGCAGCTCCTAAATTTTGGACGCTTGAACCTCCAAAGACCTGCGCAACGTAAAGGCCTCGAACCTGCAGAATCCAAAACCCCAAAACGGTAAATCCCTAAACCCTAAACCCCTAAACCCCTAAACCGCTAAACCCTAAACCCCTAAACCCTAAACCCTACACGGTAAATCCCTAGATTTTCAACCCTAGAGCCCCAGATCTCGAAACCGTCAACACCCTCAGCAGGTGTGCTGCGAGCCTCCTTACTGCGATCTCATTCGCAAGAAGCTGCTCTTTGGGTTAGCAAAAAGGCATTTTGGGTTAGGGTTTAGCCTTCAGGGTATGGGCTTTAGGGTTTAGAGCTTTTGGTTTAGGGTTAGGGGTTTCGGGGTCAAGATCGCTCTTCCTCTTCCAATTTTTTTGATGTTGTGTCGCCCAGCTGCTCCTCAGGAAGGGAATCCTCCTGATTGATGCCCCCACCCAAGCTGTAATGAGGTTTTCTGTACTCCTCTGGGGGCCTTTCTGTAAAATCTGTAGGTGGTACGTCAAGAAAGGGCCCAGAGAGAGCAAGCTGAACAAAAGCCCTAAAGTGGCCCTAAGCCACAAGTCTGAAACTCCAAACCCAAAGCCCAACACCCCCCAACCTAGCAACCCTTAATCACTCTGCTCAAGCCCGCCCCGCGCTTTGGCCAAGGAAACGAGCCCCAAAAGGCTGCCAGGATATCAGCCACTTAGCTGATTACCTACCTTTGGCTAGTAGGGAATGGAGGAATGGGGTACAATCATAACTACTATTACTACCATTCTTCCATTCCCTGCTACCATTCTTCCATTCCCTACAAACCAAAGGTAAGACTAAGGGACTGAAGGTTGAAGGTCATCTTTTGGAGCTTTCAGGTTCCGTTGTGAAGGCCGCCCTTACCCCTGAACCACAGTCGGGTTTCTGGCTTGAATGAAATGTTTTCAGGTTCCGTGAATCATTTCCGTCGTGCCGGCCTGGATATTTTGAGGAGCGTTTCGTTGCTTCATCCCGACACTGATCCGAGCCATGGAATCATGGATGCTGAATACAGGCAGAATAGCAAATTAACCTGGCAACCACTGACATCGGCCTCATCATCATCCTCCTCGTCATCGTACTCCTGATCCCATCCACCATCCAACACCATAAACCCTAAACCCAATCACTGATCAGCACTAATCGCTGTCGGATCCACTCCTGTTTTCGTTGGCAGCGAAGCTTCGTAGTTTAGTAGTTGGGTGCTGCACTCTTGACCTACCTGTTGCAAGATATGACTATCTCTGAGTTGTAGTAAATCGACCGATCACCACGAGTCAATGGTCCTCGATCTTACATGGTCCATGCCGAGGAACTTCCCATCGTAAGGTTCGGTTCAGGGCGCACGGTTGACGTCCTCAAAACAAGTTAGAACCAAGCTCGCCAAGGGAGACCTTTCCCGAATCTGAAAAAAAGCCAAGCCACAAACCCTAAACCCCACATCCCCTAAACTTTATGTAAACTTAAAACCTCAGCGCCTAAATTCCCTCAATCCTCAAAACGTCCTTTTTGCGCAAGCCTGCTGCCGAATCCTAGGGGCTTGAATGATTACCGATACTGTGTTGGGTACCATAATCAAGGCCTCGATGTTATTGTTGTTCGTTGAATTGGTCGCAGTTCGTTCATACTTTCCTTGATCAAGTTGCATCCCAACTGTTTTGGGCCCTTACTTGCCTGTTGTGCATGCTCTAAGATTCAGGTCAAGAGTCGTGCGACCAGCACTTCTACTCCTACAAGGACAATAGCAGCCAGACTGTTGTCGCCAGGGCCGCGGAAATATCGTTGTACGATCAAAGTGCAATGATATCGATGGTTAAAACGCAGAACCCAGCTCATGTGTCATGAAGCTATCAAGCAAGCGGCAAGTAAACGTACACCATTACAGGATTGGACGTTGCACATGCAGCCCCTCACCCCCCACAGACTTGACACTTGACCCTCAAGGGCTAAGGTTGATCCAACCCTGCGAGATGAGAAGGCTGTGTAGTCTCACGAAACACAATAACACATTTTCACACATATGTAGAAAAGCCGTATACGTGATGCATCGTATGTGTATATGCATACAGGTATCGACATATCTACTTACTTACCTGTATACCTGCATGCATGCATGCATACATATACGTGAACAGGAGGGTCGGTTTGAGCAGTAGGGAAGCGGTGTTCGTGCAGCGTGAGCAAATCCAATGAGTCGAAACCTTGATGTGCTAGATGCAGATTGATTTGGCTGTGCGGGCTCTGGCTTTTGGATTATGGCAAGGGTACCTAAACCCTAAACCCTAAACCCTAAAGCTAACAGAAGCACCCCTGAAGCGGACTCTTCCTGTGGCTTTCTGAACCCGCTTGTGGAGTTGTTTTCGCCGGTGCCTTCAACCTCGGCAGAGAAAAACTGCATGAAGCAAAAATACAGTCAAAGAAGCCTTTTGCCGGAGGGCGGTAGGTGAAATGATTAGCAATGGTACTTCCGTCCTCGTAGTTTGCAACTGAACTTTTGTATATCCAAGAACAATCATGCTGGCTCTAAGCCGGAGGCCTAAACCCTCAACCCTAACCCCCAAACAGGGGCTGAAGCAAAAGGCTCCAGACCCTCCCCGCAAACCCTGCTTCCCCATGGGCGGCAAGCCTTCGCCGTGAATGGCTTACGGACTTAGGCTTTCGGGCTTTTGCTTTGGGGTTTAGGCTGTAGGGGTTTCTGAGTTTGATACCCTTCCCCAACCCCAAGCCCTCAAGCACCAAGCACTGCGAGCCCTCAACCAAGCTCTAAACTCTAAGCCCGACATCGTAGAACCCTAGACCCTCACATCCTAAACCCGAAGAGAAAGTCTTAGGTGGAGTGCGACTACGATGGCGATATCGGGATGTGCCGGAACCAAGGGAAGCGCACCGAGGGCTGCCGGGGACCCAACCTGCGGGGACTTGAAAAGATGTTGAAGTTTAAGGGTTTAGGGTTTCGGGTTCAGGGTTTAGGGTTTAGGGTTTTGGATTTTGAAGTTTAAGGGTTTCGGTATACTTGGTATCGGGTTCAGGCATAGTATGGAGTTGAGTTGAGTGTTTTGTGGATATGTTTTACAACCTCGCATTTATTATCGGGTGTGTAGCTGCCTGCAGTGCCATGAGAGCTTGCGGCTCAGGGACGTAAGGTGTTGGTGCAGAGTGTGGGGTGTTTGGTTCCAGGTTCTGCATCTTGGAAGTAGACGAGGTTTATGGACACACTCCCCCCGAGACCGAAACCCAAAGTCCTCAAACCCCCAATTGCAAGCCCCAAGCATACCTAAAGGTTCATGGGCAACAAGTAAGGTACTTCAATCCCTTCTCAGAACTAGCCGTGAACCTTGAAGTAATGGGCATTAAGCAACAGAGAGCAACACACACGAATATTGAGTCACTTTCCAAGCATCAGCACAATCAGATACCATATGATATTGGATACTTGGATCAAAGCCATCCCTAAATGTCATCTGCCCACCGAAATAACCTGACGCTAAACCCTAAATCTGCGACCCTGAGCCCCACCCTTGTGCCCAGGCAAGTTGGCCTAAGTCTTTTTCGCGACCCAGCGCCAAAGCTGGTGTGAAAAGCAGACGCTGGGATGTGGGGGTCGTATCTGTTTGCCCAAGCACTTGAAATCCTCATGCTGCTAGACTCTCATTCTGTCTTGTTTGAGGGTTGGGCTTCAGTCGATGTATGGCAATGAGATGGGGTGCTTAACTTCCGGCGGTTCCACCTCTCGCATTGTGGCGCAGTGCGCAAAGTCACTCGTCTGCCGAGGACCCTACCGTTTCAAGGGGTTTCGACATTTTCCAAAGTTGCCAATTTCGGATGCGCCTCGTCCTTCCCGCTGCAGTCCTTTCGACTTCGTGCATGTAATGTAGGGGCCTCAATAATTATGGTATATTCGGTCCCCAAACTATTTTCTAATTATTCAGGCCCCTATAGTACCCTTCTCGCAAGATATAAGATGTCTACCGCCTAGAACTACAGCCGGGTGCCTGCAGATATGTCGCATTTTATTACGACAACTATTATCATCATTATTATTATTACTAATATAAGTTTTACTACTACTACTACTACTACTACTACTACTACTACTACTACTACTACTACTACTACTACTACTACTACTACTACCACTACTACTACTACTACTACTACTACTACTACTACTACCACCACTACTACTACTACTACTACTACTACTACTACTACTACTACTACTACTACTACTACTACTACTACTACTACTACTACTATGATTATTGTTATTACCCAAGCTATCCCCTTTGAGTTTCAGCCTTCGGGTAGGGGTTTAGGGTTTCTCGGTTTAGGGTTTGCTTCGGTCTTCGCGGGCAGGGCCCAGGGTTCAGAGCTACTGTTGCAAAGCTGGTGGAATGCCACGGAACGAGGGCTTTCGAAACTGGAGCTACAGCAGGTAGCTCCGTGGATTTCCGTCATCAGTTATCAACGAAGGTCGGGTATGCCCTAGAAGCAATTGCAAGTACCCCTGCCTGTCTCTTACTCTCAACACGCCGCTGGCTCGCAGACAATGCTTTGGTTCTGTGTTTGTCCAGTTCCAGACCATTTAAACCGATAGTGGTAGGGACAATGATAAAGTGTTCCCAGACCTTAAACCCGATATGGTACTCCTATAAAACCCTGATCGTACCTGTATGGTTCCCTTATGGAACCCGTATACCCTAAATCCTCAACCCTTATACCCTCCCAAAACCCTTGTACCCAGGGTCCTAAGAAGGATATCAACACCGGATCATGGCGCAAGTGGCGCGTAAGCCGGACAGAAGACAATCGCTTCTGCACCACCAGGCCGAACACGTTGCTGCAAGGTCACAGAGTTTAGGGTTGAATGGTTCCGGGTTTCGAATCTAGTCATTGGGGCAAATCAAGGCTTCCGGCGCACCGGGTTCGGGGCTTTTGGCCTTGTTGGGTGTATCGTTTGTTGCCTTGGATCGCAGTTATTGAGAGTCGTCCCTACACCACGGCTGTAGATCAAGTGAGCGTGTTTCACCTGTTTTTTTCATTTTCTTGTTACTGTGTTGCTCAGTATGCTGCCATATGTCATTGCATTGTGCGATGCCCTGCGATGCAACACTACTCATGGCAGTCCGATGCGCAACACAATGCGATTGTGGTTTCCCCTTCCATGCTATGCCACATTCTGTCGTGGATTGCAATCAGTTTCGCACCTTGCCACGTTCTGGGGCAATTTTCGGTTTAAGGCCCTAAGCCGTACAGTTCCGAAAAGGCTGTCCCAAAAAGCCTCTATGTACTGTAGGAGCCTTAATATTCAGAGTAGGGTCTGGGGGTATAGTTATACTATAGTTAACATAAGGAACCATCAAAACCCTATTTTCATTATACGGCCCCCACATTACTGTAGCCCAAGAGCTCCTTTGAAGTCCTGGTAGAGCTGCACGAGACCGTTCGGCTCAGGCTGTTAATGTCATACTTCGATTTTGTGAGTGCCTTTGCCAGGGCAGTTGATACTATTCGGGTTGCGCAGAGTTTGTTCGGGTCGCGGATTTGGCGCAGAGTGTATTCGGGTCGTGGATTTGGCGCGGAGTTTACGATCTACTGTCGTACATTGCAAGAGCAGGAGCCTTGGAAGTATCCGCTGGTCGTCGCGATCGCAACGTCACTACCCCATCCCCTGCAGGCTACGCCCACCTCTCTGAGCTCAACGCGTTATAGACCCTCAACACCGACAATTCTTTTCCGTTTCCGTAAACCGCGAATCCTCACTGTCACAATCATTAAACCCAAAGCCCGGCACCCAAAATCCCAAAACCCAGTAACCCTGAACCCGAAGCCCCAAAAAGCTGTGCCGAACCCTAAACCCTAAACCCTAAACGCCTAAACCCTAAGCCCCTAAACCCCTGTACCCTAAAACCCCTAAACCCTAAACCCATAACCCCTAAACCCCTAAAGCCATAAACCCCCATACCCTAAAACCCTTACCCCTAAACCCTTAAACCCTAACCCCTAAACCCCTAAGTCCCTGAACCCTGAAGCCTTAAACCCCCAAACCCTAAAGCCTTAAACCCTAAGCCCTACAACCCGGCCAGAGGAGCTTAGCAGCACTGTCCACAGCTTCATCAATCGGGAAAAGAGCGTTCAGGATGTGACCAAGGCCTTGGGCGCCGCTTATTGCTCAGGGATCTATAAGGGTACAATAGGGTTTTTTTTAATAACAGGGTACTATAAGGCTTCTTTGAAAGGGATCTATAAGGGTACTTTAAGGCTTCTTTTAAACGGATCTATAAGGGTACTTTAAGGCTTCCTTTAAAGGGATCTTTACGGGAACTATAAGGGTTCGTTTAAACGGGTCTAGAAGTGTCTTATAAGATTTTTAAGAGTGGTCTCTGTGGGAGTGCGCTTTTTATACTTTTCCCACGACCCGAGAATCAAAAACATGAAGACACATGCACAAAACTTTGTTGGACTACAACTGCCGAAACTTTCGTGACACGCAGCATCGTGCTCAAAACCGCTCGATTCCATTTCCATCTAGACTTATGCTATGGCAGACTTTCTGGGGGCTCACATACCTGGTTTGGTCCGAGAGTTAGGTGGGCAAGATGGGTCACTCACTTTTGACGAGGCGGTTGTGCAAACTACAGGCTAGGGGCTCAATCTCAAATACGAAACGCGCCCCATCACCATCGATCGTCGAGACGGAGAAGTCAATGTGGGCGATCTACCGATACGTTTGTTTGAGACTACATCCGGCAAGGCGGAACATTTTGCGATGCAGCGCAGCACGTGAAGATCGATGTCACTTCAGATTTCTTCCAGACTTTAATCGTGAAGGAATGTGCTACCTCGAATTGTAAGAGCCTTCCCGAACCTTTCCGGCTTCGTAAAGAACCAAAGGTAGGATGCACTATGCAGCTCATCGTCTTGATTGCACTCCCGCCTGCCGATGTTCTTGCGGACACTTCAGAGAAGTATGTGCGTGTCTTCGAGCATGTGTACTTGCACCGCAACGAAATCATAGCCAGTGAGTGCATGGACATGTGTTACGCCATATCCTTGAAGTTCGACTGGGGCACGCACGCCAGGCAGGGGTTGATCGGACTCACATGCATGATGGATCGCATGGTTAGGAACTGGATTATACGACCCAAGTTTGAGAAGAAAGTCACCGTCGATCAGGTCAGAGCGCCAGGGATGCAGGGTATCGCTTCACCAGAGACAATGGACCCAAATCGAACAACAGAAACCAGTTCATGGAATGGACAGATACCCAAATACACAGCGGGGAGCCCGATCGAGACTTGGCAGGAAGTAAAGGTTGTCAGCGCACTCAACAATCACATGCGGGGACGGCAAAATGCGAACAGTTTGGAGTACTGGCCTCTCACTGTGAAAAGTTTGCTGCCTTTGTTCTCACATGGAAGTCTTTTCCATATGTTGGGCAGTCTTCGTCAGCATGCCATCACATGGATAGGTAAAACACGCACTGGGAAATCCTTGGCATCGAAAGCCGTTCCGTTTTGCCAATCCAAATTCGAGATCACCGAAGCCGGACGTGATGATTTGATACCAACCATCGTGCCACAAAACACCTCGATTTTTTCGATGCGGAACCTCTCAGTAAGTTCAAGCCGTGGATCTTCGACGACAGCATGCTCCAGAAAATGGACGCCTCGTTTCTCAACGCCTTCCTGAACCCGTCCGCAACTTGGATTTTTTTTTTACGTGACGCTGTCGTCTAGAGAAAGCACCCTGTTTGAGAATGCAATGGAAAGTAACTACAAGGACGTGTAAATATCATGTGGGGTTTGGTTATATAAACTCATAAGGAGGATGCGACAGTATGGGCGCGATATTCTTCGGCGTACTTCGCGCAGGGGGCCAGTCGGCAAGCATGCAACCATCCATATGACAAAGGCATTGATGAAGAGCAGGTCAAAGACATGCGGGCTAGCAACATTTTGGGAAATCAGGTACAAAGACTTCGTAAAGCTCATCCAGCCATCCTTCGCTTGCATTGATGAGGCACAAGATATGGACGCCATTATCGCACGCACACACATCATCGTCACCACAGACTCCACAGGCTATGGAATATATTGGAGACTTGCACAGCCTCAACACCGAAATGTCCGTTGTGCAATGGCCAGAAAACGAGCCTCACGATCTCCTCAGCTTCGCGCAAAGACATTTTCAGAGACTACAGGAAAACCAGGAACCATGGGACAAGTTTCGCCATGGGACAAACTGGTGCAGGTTTGGTTGAGTGCCCGACATGCCTTGGTCTGTGACTTACCGAACTATGGCAAGCAGGGCCGAAATGATTGTAGCTTGGTTGCTGGCAATCTTGGAATCGAAATCTATTCGTGTGCCGCTCAGGGGCGTACAGTTTCAGCACGGGCGCCTTGGGGGACGTCATGGCTTCCTTTAATTCCAAGAAGAAGGCGGGCCAAGATGTGGCTTTTTTTCTCGAGGCAGACCACTGGGCTGTGGAGAGTGGGATGTCACACTCCATGTGGGGGCTTGTGGGTTAGTCTTTGGGTTC